TAAAATACTAAGTAAGTATTAATACTCTTAGGGAGCTAAACCTACTAAGTACTACTTAAGCTTATACTAATTATAGGCTAAGGACCTAACTAAGGGTTCTAAAGCTTATTAAGGTTATCTTTTTTTTAGTAAGAAGTATTAATAAAAATATTATCTCTTACCTAAATATTATTTAGCTTTTAATATTTATTTATATATTATTATTAGTGTTTTTAAGTAGTTTCTATATTTTTTTAAGTAATCTTTTAGCACTTATAAATATATTTAGCTATCTTTTAGGCCTTAGTCTAGTTAAGTCCTCATTTAGTAGGCTCAGGAACTGATTTGTATGGACCTCTGCCATCGTTAATCTGCGCAAACAGTAAATCAGTCGGGACCACCCATGTATTCATTTTTTTCTCACTGTATCACGGCCAACTAGTTGGTCGGGCTGGGAGGATTCCCGGCTTCTGAGATCCCTAGGGCCTTTTGGATAGGTATATTCCTTAGCTTAAGCTAATCTTTTTATAAGTTCTTTAAGAGATACTTTCTTATAGCTTTTAGCTTCTTTAAGGATTGTTTATATAATAAGTAATAAGTAAGCTTTTTTTTTCTCTCTTTATAAGCTTAATCTTATAGTTATAGAGGTAATAAGGGGTAAGCTAGTTACTTATTATTTTACTAAAAATATTTTTATAAGTATAAAGTAAGATAAAAAGGTTAGTTTTAACTAAATTATATTTAGCCTAGTTACTAGCCTATAGGGGGTTATTGGCTAGCTTTTTTTTTAGGTAATTATTTAATCTAGCTTATAAAAGGAGATAAAACTAAGCTTAATATCTTATCTTTTTAGATTTATCTTAAAATATACTATATTAATAAATATAAAATAGTTATACTTTTATAGCGTTACTAACTATATAGACCTAGCCTTATAGTAAGGCTGTTTAGTAGTATATATAAGTAAAAAAGAACTATTAAGTGCCTTACTTATCTTATAAAGGTTCTTTTTTAAATCTTCTTTATAAGTATATTAAAGAATTTATTAAGCTTTTTACTTCTTTATTTTTTACTAGTATTACTAGTAGTTAACCTTAAAGACCTTTTATTAATATTTAGTATTAATTTAGTGCTAAATATTAATAGTCTTAAGGGTATATAAGTCCTTTATCTCTTTAATAATTATTAGAGAATAAGGCTATTATAAGGACTTAGCTAGCTAGACTAGCTACTTATAGTATACGTCTAGGTTTACTTTATAGTAAGTAAACTAAATATAACTAAGGATTAAATTATAGTAACTAGTATTAAGTTATAATAGTAAGGTTTATTAAATAACTTAATAGTTAATATATAGGTTTATAATCTAAGTATACTAAATATTATTTAATTATTTTTTATTAAACCTTATAGCTAGTATTAGTTTAAGTAGAGTTTAGTAAGAGGTATTATAGAATTTTTTTAGTAAGAGAATTACTTAGTTACTTATAAAGGTGTAGCTATTTACTTCTATATTAAGGAACGCTTAAAGTTAAATACTATATCTATTAAAAGCTATAGTTAACTTTATTTTTAGGGGGTTACCCCTAATAAGATTTTATAAATTAATTAAATATATAGATAACCTTAAATTATTTTTATACTAGTTCTTAGTAAGGAGTTAGAATTTACTAAAGAACTTAATTTTTTAGCTTCTTTTTATCTTTAGCCTTAGTAACGTCCTTTATATATTACTATAGGTTAATCTTATTAATAAAGGTCTTAGGCTTATAAAAGTAATTATAGGCTATATAGTTAGTAGCTTTATATTTAAAGTAAGTATTAAAATTATAAAAGTATTAGTATAAAGTAGTAAGGATTTTATCTTAGTTATTAGTTTATTTACTAGTAAGAGTAGACTTAGTAGTGTTTAAAGTACTAAGTAATACTAAGGTGTTAGTAGTATAACTAGTAGTAGACCTATAGGCCTTACTAAACTAGTTAGTAGTAGTAATAGCTAAAGGCTTTATAGTATAAGTAATCTTAATAGTATATTTAGTATACTACTAGAAATTAATCTAGATATCTATATACTATTAAATAAAGTTATTATAAAAAGTAATAAAAAGTTTATTATAAAAATATTACTTTTACTATAACTAAAAGAAACTAAAGACCTAAGTATATTTAGTAAATTTAGATTTTTTTTAGTAAATATTCTTAAAAGATATTATAAAGGTATTAAGTTTACTTTTAGCTTTATTTACTTTAGTAAGGCTAGTATATATAAATATAAGTTTTATAATAATATCTTTAGTAGTAGTAATAGTAAGGTTTACTTTACTAATTAGAAAAAACACTAAGTTTATAAAATCTTTACTAATATAGCTATAAATATACTTAAAGTAATAGTTCTAACTTTACTAAAAGTAATTCTTTAAGTAATAAGTAATATATAGTATCTAATAGTTAAACTTTAGATTTTTTTATCTTTACTATTTTTAATTTTAGTAAAAATAAAAATCTTTAGTAGTTTAGCTTTACTTTTATAATAGTAAGTATTTTTACTAACTAATAAGAAAATAAGAGAGTTTTTTTATAAGAACTAAGTTTTTAAGTAAGTAATTTATTATTTAAAGACCTTATTTATAAAGCTACTAGTCTTACTAAAGGTATTATAATTCTTAAGAACCTTAATTTAATTTATTAAAGTAAAATTAGTAGTATAGGCTTTATAAAGCTTTTACTTTAAGGCGTTAACTATATCTTTTTACTTTTTTTAAACTATAAATATATCTTATATATAAATATAAAGTTATTTAAAGTTATTAGTATAGTAGCTTATAATAAAGCTTAATTTAAGCTTTAGGTTTTACTATATATAATATAAGGTAAGTTAGTAATATACTTAACTATATAAATTAGCTAGATTTTTTTTATATAAGGCCTTAAATACTTCTTTAGTAAACTTTTTTTTTCTTATTACTAAATAAAGACTAGTTAGTAACTTAAATAAGTATAAGTAAGCTATTAATATAACGCTATAAGTATTAACTATAAGTAGTTTAGTTAGTATTAGTAAAAAATTATTTAAGGCTTAATTCTTAAAGGTAAAGTATAAAGTTAAATTCCTATAGGTCTTTAGCTTTATTATTTAAAAAGAAAGTACTTTATTAATTAGAGGTAAGGTTTTAAGTAGGGGTTATTATTTTAGTGTTAAATACTAAAGGGCTACCTTTACTAGTAGATTAGGCTATCTTAGTAATAAGGGGAAAGTGTAGAGGAGTTTAGAGGTAGCGTTAGCTAATATATAACTAAGCCTAAAATAAAATAATAAGGGGGAGAGGCTAGGCTAGGGTCTAGTAAGGAAAAAAAAAGTTTAAGATATTATACTTTTATCTCTAAAGAAAGTAAAAGTAACCTTTAAATAGCATTATAGTAGTAATACTATATTAGTTAAATATATAACTATATTTCTTATAATAAGAATTTAAAAGTAAAAAAAAAAAAAAAAATCTACCTTAAGGGGCTAATAGTCCTACTAGCTATTATATAGCTATTTATTTTATTTATAAGTTACCTAATAGTTCTTATAACTAGGGGTTCTTTTTCCCTACCTTTTAGTAGGTCCTTTAGTGCTATAGGGTTTACTAGCCACTAGGGTATAAGTGCACTAACTACTAAGGCTTAGGGCCTTAGCTACTAAGGCGTAGTACATACTAGCTACTAAACTACGCTATAACCCTATTCCTATCTATATACCCCCTATATAACCTCTCTAGCTATAACACTATATTACTTTACCTAATAAATAAATAATAAGTAGTAGTAGTATTTATATAAATAAGAAATAAGAAATAAATAAATAACTTCTTAAAATAAAAGAACTATAGTATAAGTTATATAACTATAAGTATAAAATAAGATAAAGAATAAGCACTTATTTATAAGTAAGATAAGTACTTAGTAAATACCTAAGTAAGTGCTTATTTTACCTTATAACTATTACTTAAGGAAACTATTTAGGAAATAGTTAGGACTTATATATAAGATAGACTTAGACACACTTAAAGATAGACTCTTATAGCTCTTTAGTAATTAACTTATAATATATTCTCTAAATACCTTTTAGTATCTAACCTTAGTAATTTAAATTAATAAGAAGCTATATAAGCTACCTTATAACCTTAACCTTAACTAATTACTAGGTAATTAATAAGATAATAAGAAAGATAAATACTTTTAACTAATTACTAACCTTCACCTACTATTAGTAGAAACCTTACTATCTAGAAACTAGCTAGAATATATATGTCTACCTGTTTTAGACTTATAGTTATATATGCTTACTATCTTTTAGACCTATAGTTATAAAGCGTAAATTAAATATATAGCACTTTAACTTATATAAGATATTAAATATTAAATTAGGTGGCCTAACTTCTAAGGCAGCTAGGGTTATAACCTCTAAGTAACCTAAAAAGCAGGCCCACTACTTAGTTATAACAGAATTAGCCTTAAGTATAAATATTACTAAAGTAACATACTAATATTAATAAACTTATAAGAAAGGTAGAAAGGTAGGAGGATGTAGGCTACTTGCTATAAATATATATTATTAAATCTTTATATTTTATCTTTATTATTAAGAAAATATTCCTAATACTTAAGTACTTTTAGACTTAGATCTAGTTTTTAAAAATATTTATTTTATAAGTTTATTGTAAATTCAGTGTAAACTTAGCCAGCCTGACTTTAGGGGTCTAAGCTATAGGCTCTTACTCTGTATACCCTTGCTTTGTAGAGTGCCTTACCTAATACTATAGGTAATGCACCTCCGGTGGTTCTCTTTTTTTATTTCCCCCCCTGCAGCGTTCCTCGTGCCCATCCCAACCCCAAGTCGCCCCGCCCACCTGCAGCTTAAGAGAGGGAAAAAAAAATTCCCAATCGCTCGCGTCCATTCTTCTGGCTTCCGTCTTGGCTGCCTCTACCCAACCTCGAGTTTCCCTTCAATTTCCACGGTTCAGTCGTACTTCACCGCTATGCCAGAGCTGTGCGATGGGCATCTCGATGAACTCTTGAAAGAAGCGGCAAGCCGCCTAGCGACTAAACAGTCGTCGCGGCCGAAGGATTGCAGCTTGATCGCCGTCGCGGCCTTGCCTGTCGATCCGACTACTGAATCAAAGGCACAGCCCAAAGCACAAGACCCAAGAAGCATTTCGCTTCGTGATCCTAGGCCAGCGGAGGAAAAAGTACGTTTGCGCTCATTCTTTTCTCCCCTCTCTGTCTCCTGATGAGAAGCAAATCCCTGCTTAATCTCCTTGATGTGATGACAGCGCCCGTATTGGGTTGCTGCACCACGCCAAAATGATCTTTTATTTTCATAGTTACTCTGACTGAGAACTCCTCACTTAGTTCTTTTCAATCCACACTGTGGTTGGAAACGCTCGCTAATAACAAGATATAGTCACACGGTGATGCTGGCCCTGGCTGGTTTGGGATTCCTAAGACGGACCCTAACGACCCCGACCTGAAGCGAGATCTGCAGATTCTTCACATGAGAGGAACTGCGATTGATCCCAAGCGGCACTACAAGAAGGAGTCGCTCAAGGCCAGGATACCGCGGTACGCCCATGTTGGACGTATCATTGAGGGCCCTACCGAATTCCATAGCGCTCGTTTGACGCGAAAGGAACGGAAACAGACGCTGGTAGATGAACTGTTGAGTGCCGAAAAGGCGTCGGGCAAGTTCAGATCCAAGTACGAGGACATCCAAGTGAAGAAGGCGAGCGGCAGAAAGGCACACTACAAAAAGTTGATAGAGCGACGCCGGCGCAACCGTCATTAGGCAACGATTAGACAATTCACTATTCTCTAATGCGCCGCATGGTTGCAGTGCCGCGTAATTTTAGTCATGTAGGTTTTCCTATGTGAAACCGTTGCTAGCCATAATATTGCGCCTACTTGCTGGGGAGAAAACCGGACAAGCTCGATCTTGCGGCCCACTTTTCATTTGTAGTTCTTCGGGAGAGAGAAGAAAAGGTAGAGAAGTAGAGCCAGACCTTCATGCGGAATGACAAACTTACTGCTTATACAGAGTGGAAAGGACATCGGTAGCTTCGGAAATGCAATGAATAGAGATGAAATCTGCGATATATACATAAATCTTATCTTTTGTGAATATACCCTTTTACTTGAATTATTTATGGAGACCTCTAGATTCTACGGACTTAGGTGCCATTCTCAACCTCTGTGCATGAATTGTTACTTCAACGGTAACGCCGCCCTGCCACCATTCGAGAACGATGCGCGTAACATTTTTACTACGACCGACGTCCGGCTTCCTTGCGCGGCCAGCGCCACGGGTATGTTGGTGTTTTTTTCTTTTCTTTTCTTTTCTTTCAGACAAGAAGTGGTGGGCAAGACGAATGGGTTCGCAAGCTAACCGTCCAATTTTATTCCTTGCAGGTCATTACCCAGAGACAGCCATGGATCCGTTGCCTCGCCACAGAGACGAAGCTGGCCACCCTGGATAGACATGGGGCCGTGTAAGGACCAAGCCCGATATTTTGCAGAAATCTCGCGCGTAGTGTGTATGTTTTTCTAACTATCGGAATTGCAGGGGACATGTTCTTGCCAAAAGCAAGGAAGGCGGTCCGCGATACCCTCGAAGTGTACAAGCCCTCTACCTCCAGCCACTCCGGCGCGAGGCTGAGTACGGTATTCCGTCGTGCGATCTTCAGCTACGCTCATACAGCTTGAGGAACCTCGAATTCTTCGCCGACTTTGCCCTCCGGGCAGCGTATTACTTGAAGCTCCCAGCCTTCGGTCCCGTGCCGCTGCCCCGAATCACCGAGCGATGGACAGTTCCCCGGAGTAGTTTCATCTTCAAGAAGTCACAGGAGAACTTCGAGCGTATCACGCTGCGTCGTCTCGTTCAGATCCGCGACGGGAACCCGGAGACGGTACAACTGTGGCTGGCATTTCTGCAGAAACACGCATATTATGGGATCGGCATGAAGGCCAATGTGTGGGATTTTGACAAATTGGGTATGTGCTATTTTGATTCGCGCATAGCTTGGTATCTGAACAAACCAGGCGCTGACATTGCATCTCGTAGGTGTTGGCAAGACAATGGACACCACGGATGAAGGCACGGCCAAAGCTATCGAAACCAAATGGGGCCACCTTGGTCAGAACCGGGACCTGAATACAGTTGAGAAGGTGGAAGAATTTCTAGCCAAGGTGAGGTTCGATGTCGACAGCGGCAAGCTGGCCGAAGGTGAGCGGCGGTTCGTCGAGAGGCAGTGGAAACAGGAGGAGGCCCTGAAGAGGAAGGCGGCGACAACGGTAGAGACGGCGTCTTCCTAAGGAATTGGAAGGATTCAGAGTGATGAATGCTTCCTCCGCGATTGTCGACCTATCGGGAGGGAGATGGAGCTGTAGAAAACGACATGAGATCGGTACTCAGTCAACCTTGTATTACGTATCTAGAATGGGCTTCATGCGCTCTATGTAAATCTTAGCAGAGGGAGAGGGCTACCCGAGTGGAAGGGCGATACAGAAGCAATGCCTATGTACCAGTGTTACCCGATTTCCGCTTGAGACCCTTTAGGCTGTGGCCTGTGAGACGGGGGGGGATATTTTCTGCGCCCCGCTATAGCAATACGTTGCAGTAAGTCAATTGTGCACTCGCTACTATTTTTTTTTTTTGGCCATTGGCAAGGTCGATCCATTTGCGTCGTCGACGACATCGGGTCATGCAGCCTCGTGGAGCTATAAAGAGCATCTTCCGAGCTTCATATAGTCTTCAGAGTTGACGGGATTTCTCTTAGACGGCATTGTCGCAATCAGGGTCAGATCCGTCACCGGCCACTAAAGGTAAGCACACTGGCAGAGCTTTTCTGGAGACATCAGCTCACCACATGGTCAGATCTTTGGCCCAGACAACACCGGTCTGTGACTACCACGGCGAGTGTCTTTCACCATGTGGCGGCACGCGAGACCGGTAGCTCGCCAACTCCGAACCTTGGATGGGCGGCGTGCCGCATCGACTGAAAAGCAAAAGGTCATTTTCTCGGGTATCCAGCCTACAGGAACACCGCATTTGGGCAACTATGCTGGCGCTATCCGGCAATGGGTGCAGCTCCAAAGCGAGCCGGCCGATTATTGCAGGCTTATCTATTCCGTCGTTGACCTGCATGCCATCACTGTGCCCCAACAAGCGAAGCAATTAAGCCAGTGGAAGAGGGAGACACTGGCTGCATTGTTGGCAACTGGTATCAATCCCGAACGCTCGACCTTGTTTTACCAATCTTCTGTATGATACGGCCCCAACCTTGCTATAGGCGGTATTTCTCTTTCATTGCACCCCCCAAGGAATCCTACGCATGCAATCAGAAGTCGCTTGATTGTTATTTCATCACTTTTATCTTGGTCGTTGAAAAGCTCCATGCTTACAACTCGACTGCAGGTTCCGTCACACTCAGAACTCATGTGGATCCTGAGCTGCACAGCCTCTATGGGTTACTTGTCTCGTATGACGCAGTGGAAGGTTAGTTCAGTTATCACATAGCGCTTGCCCACCTGTTCCCCCGCTAACTAAAGCTCCAAACTCTGCAGAGCAAGTTGTCGCTCTCTTCTGACGCCACCATTCTCGATGAAAGTGCCAAGGCTTCATTGAAGCTCGGCTTGTTTTCGTATCCGGTTTTACAGGCCGCAGATATCCTCGTTCATCGGTTTGTGACCCTTTATCCGACTATCAACACTTCCCTTTGTTTATATTCGAGTGCTGCGGTAGACATTAGTAGCTTGGTCTTCTGACGCTTTCCCCAGTGCTACACACGTTCCCGTGGGTGATGACCAGAGGCAACACCTTGAGTTTGCTCGCGAATGTGTAACAAACTTCAACCATCACTTCGGCCCGCACCTCGTACTACCAAAAACCATCACATGTTAGTCAGTCCTCCTATATTTTGCTGCCAAGAATCGATTGCCTGACCAGACGCAGCTACTGCCCGACGAGTTATGTCACTTCAGCAACCCAATCAGAAGATGTCCAAATCAGCCAATGATCCAAGGTCACGCATCCTCATAATTGACACGCCCGAGGAGATTCACAACAAAATCATGAGTGCGCGGACGGACTCTTCGAACTATGTTTCTTATGATCCGACCAACCGGCCAGGGGTATCGAATTTGGTGGAAATTCTATCCATCTTCGATAGCCAGGGAAGGACCCCATGCCAGCTTGCTGAAACCCTCTCTCAGACATCTCTTAAAGACCTCAAGCAGATCGTCTCTGCAGCTGTCGTCCAAGGGCTTGATGGAATTCGTGCGCGCTACTTCGATTTTTTGTCGGCGGACGAGGGGAAATATCTCGACGCCGTCGAGGCACAAGGGGCAAAAAGGGCCCGTCTTAGCGCAGAGGAAACTATGACCATTGTACGAGAAGCAACTGGGCTATAAAGGCCAATTCCTGCGGACTTTTCAGTGTTTTTTTACCGGTGTGTTCTGGAAGACGAATGTTAACACAGCTACTTCCTGGTATAGAATAACGGTGAAACATCATATAAGATAGATAGTGTAGAAAAGTATCCCATGCCAGTAGGACCCCCCCCCCCCCCCCCCCCCCCCCCTTTAAAAAAAAAAAAAAAAAAAAATAAACATTATCACTTAGCCGTTGCTCTTGAACCACGCCCCAGCCCACTCGCCCTGAAGTGGTTTTCCAGTCGCGTTTAGAGACTTATAGGGACGAATCCCAGTGCGCAGTAATGTTGGTAACACTACGGGTGCGAGACGGCGGAAAAAAAAAAAAACCCCCGACGTCGGCAAGTCATCGATGATGGTACATCATGGAACTTCCGTTGCATTGTGCGACGCTCCGAGCCTCAAGGTCCTTCTATAGACTTAAGCACACTTTTCCTAGACTCAAGCACCGGCCTCAGGAAGCATAAGCAAACTTAGACCCTCGTGCAGCAAGCCAGAAATCTCGTACGACCTGGTTGGTTCCTCTTGAACCCCTGAGGCTACATGCCAGAATCAGCATTGGCGTTACATGCTCTACATATGGCTGTCTCAACTCACTTGATAATCTTCCAGACAAAAAGAGCCTTCTCGTCATCAGATAGTTGTTGCCCGGGGAATGACGAATCATACAGAGCTTGCTCGAGCCATATACGAGCTTTGGCATGATGGTTAACCATCTTCTTTAGAGGCTCGCTGAGTCTATCTAACTCGCTCCTCGAGGCATTACCGCCAATATTTCGGACGATCGACCGAGCGAGTAATGGGCCAAGCTGAGTGATGGCATGATCTATCGTTTCTCGTACCCCTTGATCCGTGGGCTTCAGCGTCATGAATGTTGCCTGCGCACTGTATTAGCAAGTTAACAAGCACGCTACTCCGGGTCGAGTAACAGACCCAGAAATCAGCGGCTGCCGCTTTCGGTAGTGGTTCGCGCCCATCTAATACTCTCAACGCATACATGAAGAAGAACTCGGCGAGCGGAAGGTACTCGGAATGAAAGAGGACAGCGGGCTCCCGTGACGTTAAACGATTTGTGAATTCGATGCCATTCTGTGCGAGTTCTGTATCATTGTCCGGTTCTGGAAAGCCAAGTCAACTGAGTCAGCAGTGCAGCTAGGTGCAAAAAGAATGATCTTACCAGGTAGTTGCTGAAGTAGACCTATGACCCATCCAAGAAGCTTAGCCCTAGTTTCGTCGACTTCGCCTCGTTTTATGTTTCTCAGAGAGCTGAGGAGAGAGCAAGCTGTGCTCACGAATAAGCCGATTCGAGGTGTTTGAGACGTCTGTTGGATGAGATAGTCACAGACAAGTCGGGGAGGAAAGACAAATGGGCCAGCCTCATATTCGGAAAATCCTGTTCGGAAGATGTTGCAAATACTCTCAGCCACTTCGCCGCTCTGTGGGAATGAGCTTTGCAGCTGGGCAATCAGGGACAGAATCCCTGATTGTAACTGATCAAGCCTTGAATCATGGTTGATCGACGAGAAGTCTTTTTCTTTCTCCAGGTCGCATGGCACATCGCCCGGTACCTGGAAGCCTTTGCCGATGCTAATCAGACATCTCAACGCCTTCAAGGCTATGTGAAGAGGGAGCTCGGACGGTTCGGTCAACGTTGAGCAACGGTGAATGTCCAGAGAATCTGACGTTGCATCAGGCGGGAGCCTGGGCAAAGACAGTAACTGCACAGACTTGCGAGCATCATGCTGAACGAAGGAAAGGAGAGCCTCAAGGTGCTCAAATTTTGAGTTTCCGTCCTGGACAGCCTGTATGACAGCGGCAATAGCCCCCATGATTCTTTCACAGGCTAAGCAATCAAGCTGGCTCTGCGTGGCGATGGTCTGATACTGACTCAGAAATGCACTTACCTCGGATGCCAAAATAGTCCGAGATGAGAAACAAAGTCGTTGAATCGATCTTGCCGCAGGCCCAGCCAATACAGGGTCGGCTAGGACAGAAAAGAGCAAGTTAAGCGCGGATGGAAGGCTTTGCGTCTCGCGCTCAAAGTAGTCCGCATATTTTTCAATCAAAGATATGCACGTCTGACGTGTGCGGCCAGGTATCGAGTCACTCGATGTCTGTAATAGATTGAACAGAGGTGAAGAGAACAGAGCGCTGAGTGTCTCGTCGCACCTCGGATCGCCTGTCACACAATCGGCCAGGGATCCCAAGCAGAAGGCTGCAGCTTCAAGATTTGACCATGAATTGGATGATACCGACTGAAGAGTTAGGTTTCCGAATGTCGAAACTAATGATGGCCCCGTCACGGTGAATGTCGATTGGAGAAGGTCAGCAACGTCCTTTCTTGCATCGCCAAATCCTGCACGTTCGGCCGAGTCCCAGCTAGCAATAACACTCGGAGGTGGATAAGCGATCCGTTGCCAGACTGTCGATATAACCTCCAAGACGTGAGATGTAGCCGTTGGTACCCAGGTCTTGGACTCTTCGTCCTCTGAATAGATACTATCCGTCAATGTCTCCACATAGGTGGACCAAAACTCGAGAGCAGGGACGAATATCTTGTCGTCACTGACGGGGTATCCTCGAGCAGAGAGCAGACCACGCAGGTATCCAAGAAAGCGTGAGGACCGGCCATCGACACCATGGATGAGAGCCTCGACCTTGGAATCGCCAAGAGCAATCATGAGCTGCCCGAACTGAACAGAATCGAAGTCAAAGTCTCCCTCAACAAGGCGTTGATAGCGTTCGCGAGACCACTGAGTCTCGAAGAGAGAAAAGAGAGACTCGTAGTGGTCTTCCGTCAGAAACCCGGAGTAATTGGACAAGATATCTGAAAGCAGCTCCACGGCTGGTTCGTACAGTTCGTCCTCGGCCAAGGACGCGATGGTAGGTTGTATTAGTGCACGGAGAGAACCAATGAGCTCGTCGCTATGAGTCGACATTCTCTGAGAAAACCATATCCACGACTAAGTCAAGTGAACAAATGCTCCTGGTGAAAGATTCAATTGTTGCAAGGAGGCCTTACCTGCAAGCAAGTTATGGAGTCTTTCTGCGTGTCATAGCTTGTTGAATTCACAGGCACTTGACGTGAGAAACCATGAGACATCAATGCCAAAGCGTCTGGAACGTTGCGCGTAAGGGTCTCGTATAAGCCCATGCTGCAAGCTAGTCAGTAGGAACGAAGACTGTTAAGAGTATCGCATGTTTCAAGCACACGTACTGCTTTGCTGAGTTCATTTCTATCTTGGCTGCTTCGTCTACCAGTGACCCTGAGAACCACAGTGCGGCCTGGAGCTTTCGAGAATGAAGTGTTTCTAGAACAGAAGACATGTCAATGGATCCGTCGACCCTTTCCTGAGGTAAAGCACTCCCCTCTGACAGAGAACAGCAAAGATGGCGAATACAGAACTCCCACTGTGTAGGGAAGCACAGAAAAAAGGTGACCAAAGCCGAGGATAGCTTTCTGATGACCATGGCCCCAGAGCCGTCATCCAGCGATTTGACAAACCAGCCGACCAGATTCTGTCGAAGTTCTGAAGCATCGCCACTTGACAGAGATGAGCTGTGTTCAACGTCAGCCTATGGGAGGTGGACATACGACAGGAAAAGCCGCACCTCTCGGTATTCAACTTGACGATCAATGTGAGGGCACCAAAGAACTTAACCTTGTCATCTGCATGGCTCAGGAGATCTCGGGCAATCCACCAGCCGGATGGGGCTCTTTGCATGCGATGGAGTGTGTCTTGAATTCGGGCGATAGTCTCAGGCGGTGCCGGTTGATAAAGGGCCAAGACCAACTATACGCTGTCAGCCAGAGTGCCGGTAAGAGCCGTAGACGAGCTGAGTGACTTACGGCCTCAGCCTCTTGGATGGTCGATGGCAGTGGGTTATCCATCGTAGTAGATATATGTGCTCGTACTCAGCCTGCCAAGGCTGCTGGCATGATAAGCCTGTGGAAGATAAAACTACGCGGACGAAGGCCTGCTATCGTGAGGGCTCCTGGGCAGGTTCAAGCGAGCTTGAGCGTAGAAGGTGACCCTAAGTCAGGAAAATGCGATATGGAGAAGTAAGGCACACAGAAACTGGAGAACAGATACCAAAAGGAGAGAGGCCGGTCTGTTGGGAAACAGAACGAAAACAAGGAGCAGTAATTGCAACTTTGTCGTGCCTGACGGTTGCTTGGAGACTCAACCTGTCGTTTGTTGAAAATGATGAGTGACGGGAGGACCATAGGTGAAAATGCAGTTATGCAACAAAAGGATCGAGAGCATGGGGCTTGAGAGCTTGAGAGGGCACAGTTGCTTGCTGACGATGCATGGAGGCGAATGGAGATTCCAGAGAAGGAAGAGGGGCAATATTCTACCTAGGTACCTAGCTACAGTATACCTACCTAGGTACCCTATGTACCTACGTTTACCTGCACTACCTGTCAATGCCATGCGAAACAGTGGGTGCGGGGCCTGCAGGCACTGGATCCAATTGGGAAGGAGCAGTCGTTTGTCTTGATTTGCAGCAGATAGGTTGAGTCGAGCAGGTGCAAAGTGCCGGTTGCAATTGCTATGCTGCTGTCAAATGTGCAAAAGAAGTGGAGCTCCTGCCGGCTGTTACACATCTGTGAGAATTCAGGCCATATATACCATTTTTAACAGCTGCTTTTTTGGTACAGTGAGGTGTCGCAAGTCTGAGATCACTTTACGGAGTACAGTGCACCACATTAAATCCACTAACCTACTACCTTAATAATACCTAATAACTTACTACCCTAAGGAAAAAAACTAGTTATTTTTCTTATAAAATATATTTATAACTATTTATTATTCTACTTCATTTCTTAGATACTAAGTTTTAAAGTTATAGTATAATGGTACTAGGCTGAAGTTAAATACCTTGGTTAGGTAACTAACGTCTACCCCCCTACTGCAGAACTTCACTTTTGGTGAATATTCCCCCTCTATTATGATGTCAGTTATAAAGAGTAACATTATAGAGGTATTTTACTTACCCCTGTCACCCTGTAGATTAGAAGAAAGCCTTATCAAGATAGTTTTTGCTCTTAGGAAATACAGTACCATCTATTCTATATTTCTACTATAGTCTACTATAACTAAAGCTCTCTTTAAGACTATTACTTAACTTTTTTTTTACTCTTAAACTAAGCCTTTAAAACTATAAGTATATTAGTAAACTAATATTTAAAATACTTAAACAATTTATCTATATTCTTATACTTACTTTTAGACAAATAGGGCTTTAGCTACATAGTATAAGTTTATAGTGCTCAAGGTGTATACTGTGTGATTGATCTTAGACTCATGACCTGCCACTGTAAATTCAGCTGATATTCCCGCAGTTTCCCAGCCTTGGCAGAAGAGGTTTCACTTGTGAACTCTTGTCGAAAGAGACGTCTAGTTTGCTGTCAAGATACAAAAAGCGCACACTGAATGACTGGCTGACTGGTGTACATACCTAGATACGTTGGTCACGTTCCTACCTACCAACGTACCGAACTTCGAGTGGGCTGAGGTGAGGCCTTTTGCAGGCAGCTCCTTGTAGGTAGGTAGGTAGTGCACACTACAGAGTACCTCTGCAGGGTACCTGCGACAGCACGATGGCAGGAGCTACCCCACCAGCAGTCGCCCACATACCTAACTTGTTGTTCATCTTGTGTTCTGTCACTGCCCCGTTGCTGCCTGTTAGGTCACCCCCGCCAAAGGCAACTTAAGCCACCTGTGGTATTTAGTTGGCCTTTCCCATTGCAACGTGATCGCGCTCCGATTACCTTTCGCCGCCATCTCCTTCCGCCTCTCTCATGCTCTGGAGCAGTATTCGTCCTGCCTTCAGCATCGCCTGCCGGCCCGGTTTTGTATATCCAGCTACAAAAACCCCGTTATCATCAGCTCTGCCATTCGTCAGATTTCAGATTTTGTCACCCATTGGCTTAGGCCGTCGAGCAGTTCACCAAATCCCAGCCCTCGATATGGAGCGAATTGATACAACCGGCCGCCTCTCCAGGCTCAGAGAGTTAATGAAGGAGCGCAATGTTGACGTCTACGGTATGAACGCACCACATTCAATCTGAGGTGCGAGGATGCAGCACAGGTACTGATTCTTCGGGTCTCTCTTACACAGTCATCCCATCCGAAGACTCCCACGCCTCCGAATACATTGCTGGCTGTGATGCCCGGCGCGAATTTATTTCTGGCTTCAGTGGCTCCGCTGGATGCGCTGTCGTCACTCTGGACAAGGCAGCTCTGGCCACTGACGGCAGATACTTCAATCAGGCCTCCAAACAGCTCGACCAGAACTGGCTATTGCTGAAGCAGGGTTTACAGGACGTTCCTACCTGGCAAGAGTGGTCTGCCGAACAATCCGCCGGTGGCAAGGTAGTTGGTGTGGACCCTGAGCTCATCACGGGCTCAATTGCAAAGAAGCTCACGGAGAAGGTAAAACGATCTGGAGGGTCTGATCTGGTACCTCTGGACGAGAACTTGGTAGACCTTGTGTGGGCCGAAGCCCGCCCGGCTCGTCCCAAGAACCCCATCAAGGTGTTGCCGGAGAAATTCAGCGGCAAGGATGTCAAGACGAAGCTCAAGGAGCTGAGACAAGAGTTGGACAGGAAGAACTCACGGGCTTTTGTTGTCTCCATGCTAGACGAGATTGCCTGGCTTTTCAACCTTCGCGGCGATGATATCCCTTACAACCCCGTTTTCTTTTCGTATGCCATCATTACATCCGATTCAGCAACCTTGTACGTGGACGCCTCGAAGTTGGGTGAGGAAACACGCGCCTACCTCGCAGACAATGATGTCTGTGTGAAGCCTTACGATATCGTATTCGACTCCATCAACACTCTGCGGTCTTCTGACACATCGTGCCAGACGACTTCCGGGGTGTCTTCTAAGAGATTCATGATCTCAACCAAGGCTTCATGGGCCTTGAAGCGCTCCCTTGGCGGAGATAGCCAGGTTGATGAGGTTCGCAGTCCCATCGGAGACTCTAAGGCTGTCAAAAACAAGAGCGAAATGGCTGGCATGAGGGCTTGTCACATCCGAGACGGAGCTGCCTTGATCGAATACTTTGCCTGGCTGGAAGATCAGTTGGTTGCGAAAAAGGTAAAGTTGGACGAAGTCCAGGCGGCCGACAAGTTGGAGCAGCTTCGGTCGAAACAAAAGGACTATGTGGGGTTGTCCTTCGATACAATCTCTTCAACTGGTGCAAAGTAAGCAGACTTTCCATGGCCTAAATCCCTCATTTCTTTCGTCCCTTGGATACTTACACGGGTGCAACGGTTACTGACCTTTCCCAAGTGCTGCTGTGATTCATTATAAGCCTGAACGTGGGGCATGCTCGATTATTGATCCTACCGCCATCTATTTATGTGACTCCGGAGCTCAGTACCTCGATGGAACTACTGACACAACGAGAACGCTCCACTTTGGACAACCGACCGAGGCCGAGAAGCTGGCCTACACTCTGGTTCTCAAGGGTAACATCGCATTGGATACTGCCATTTTCCCAAAGGGTACGACAGGCTTCGCAATCGACTGTTTGGCTCGTCAGCATCTATGGGTAAGTGGCGATGCCCAAGGTTGATTCACTCAAATGGCTAACATGGCTTGCTTTGCAGAAAGAAGGTCTGGACTACCGGCACGGAACAGGCCACGGCGTTGGATCGTACCTCAACGTACACGAAGGCCCTATTGGCATCGGTACCCGCGTCCAATTCGCCGAAGTCGCCCTAGCGCCAGGCAATGTTCTGTCGATCGAGCCGGGCTTCTATGAGGATGGATCATACGGCATTCGGATCGAGAATGTTGCCATGGTGACTGAAGTCAAAACAAAGCATTCGTTTGGCGACAAGCCCTACCTAGGATTCGAGCACGTCACTATGGTCCCATACTGCCGAAACCTAATCGAACCCAATCTGTTAACGGCTGAAGAGAAGGCATGGCTTAATGCCCACCACGCAGATATTCTCCAGAAGACCAAAGGATACTTTCAGGATGATCCCCTGACTATGACGTGGCTAGCCCGGGAAACTCAGCCTTTATAGGAGAATAAGCTCAGAACCGGACGAAGGCGGCAAGAGTGAAGGTGGCAGCAAAAGATAAACGGAACACAACATTGTGAAATGGTCTTGTCAAAACGGCCTTATTCAGTCGTTCCTTAGCACCCAAAAGACGCGGTAAATCCAAGCCATGTCGGTGTGCGAGCTGCGAGTTAGAGGTCAGCATCTAATGCGACGTGCAATATCAACAGGGTGGGCTTCGAAGGAGGTAGCAAATACATAAAAAATAAACATGGCCAAGCCAGTGAGTAGGACCAGCGTGTGCGACAAAAAGCCTACCAGAAGGCCAGCGCTGAATCCTGCATCTCTGTTAGCAAAGCATCCTACGTCGGCTGGGCAATTGCGTGATGGTCAATATACCAGACAAGGTGCCGCTTGAGAGCTGCCTCATAGCATCGGGGCTCAAACCACCAAAGGAGCGACTCTGGGCGCGAGGTGTTGGTGACGCAGACGCGGTGAGATGTGAGTTGAAATAGTTGGAAGTTTGTCGGCAATGCAGCGAGTAAGCGACACAGATGCCACTTCCAACGGGCCACACCAAACGCCGGCCAACCAGACGAGCAGAGAGGAGCCCGCTCATGATGTCTAGGAGTCGATGTGATGTGATCGTCTTAAGAAATTCGAGTGAGTGATTTGCCACCCGAGCTCTGGAGTTGCTGTTCCTATACACAAGCAGAGGCGCCGACTGTGCACATAGGAGGCGGATTAATTTGAGGTTGATCCACGTTTGAACGATGCGTTGTGCAGAACGTGCCCGATATATCTTGTCCTGAGGGTGGATAGGTATTAATTAGTACAACCTGGGAGGTAGGTAGGTATATATGTGTACCTTGCGTCCCACTGCCCACTGACGTAAGGGGCACAGTTACTTACACAATCGAGCCCAACTTGAGCTGGGTACGTACATCACACAAGATGCAGCAGGTACAGAGGTGTTTAGAACAGGTACCCATTCAATGATATACACTATCCCCAAGTGAGCCATATAATTAGTGGATATCCAATATGCCATGTCTTGGAGCTCGACTGCCTTCCTGAAAGGAAACACTGCTGCTACCTACTACTTGATGCTACACTACAGGGTAACAATACGCATCCTTCCTTGGCGATATGGTAGCGAGGGTATACGGCGGGACATCCCATCCACGTATCCAGTTAGCTAGCATGCTCTATTTTTCATCGTACACAGGTCTTGTGAATATCTAGCCGTGTCATAGGCGCCTCTCCCAATTGAACTTGAACACAAAAAGGCAAAGAAATGGGGGAGGAATATTAAGAACAACAAACCCCAGACTCCCGACAAAACCACTGCCGCAAATGACTTGGGTATTCGTACAATAATAAAAGGAGAGGTGTTGGCAATCACGCGGATCGTCTTGCCGGGTTGTTATGCCATATCTAGTGACCTCAGCCTAGCCCACCCCAGACGCCCCGAATGCGCCTTGCGAGCTGAATATCTTTTTGCATTATGGTTACTCTCTTGGCATGGATAGCGCAGAGGTTGGTGTCTTCGAAGAGGTGTACTAAGAAGGCCTCCGCAGCTTCTTGGAGTGCCTGTATCGCTTGCGATTGCCATCGCATTGCTTCGCCTCGGGGTCTCACCGACTCGGCAATTTCGCGTACCTGTAAGCAAGTTGGTATGGTTGGTCAATTGGTCGATAAGAAGAGATATTACGGGTAACGTACAAGACGAGAGAATGGAAGTTGACGCAGCAGAAGCTGAGTGCCACTTTGATACTTTCGGATCTCCCTGAGAGCGACTGTACCAGGCTTGTAGCGTCGCTTTCCTCGGTTGGGAATAGGGTCACCGGCTATAAAGTAGTCAGAGGCCATGCCTTGGCAATTTGGAGTTGAGGGCACCAGAAGTCTTGCGTTGCACGTCGCTCTGACGGGATTTCCGATGCGAAGCGTCTGAATGTCTCTTTTTGGGGGCCATTATGCGAAGAAGAGAGGAAAAGAGAGCTTTCGGCGTCGTGACCTCTAGTCGCGATGGAAAGAGGCTTGCGCTGGCTTGAGGGCGGCGAAGGAGCGGAAATGCTATGCTGCGATAACGGGATGTAGGAGAAGCGGAAGAAAATAAGGAAGACGATGGCGGTAGAGACAGAATAGGATATTGCGATTGAGCTTCGTCTTTGCAACAACGCCGTATAGTCAGATGCCGACTTGAACGTTGGTTGCCGACAGTGTTGGTGACATGAGTGCAGTGTCAAACTGCATGCGCGAGGATGAAGGGGGCGTGTCTCAAAACGAATTGGCGATTTGCCAGCCCCGCGATTTTTCTGGTTACGACAGGGTTATGCGTAGCGGACGCGTTTTCGCGCGTCCTGCACACGAAATGTACTAATCTAGCAGACAGTGTCAGAAATGATGGGTCCATCAGAAGCACCGTGTGGCTGATGGAGTATGGCGGGTGTGCGCCAACGATGTCTCACTCCTGTATATGTACGTAACCTAGGTATGTACCGACCAAAAGCACGGTACCTTATCGATTGTGGTGACACGAGGGTGTTCCAACCGTCATCTGCAGATGGCACTTTCAAGCCGGCAGCGCAAGTCCATCGTACACTGGGGCCACCTCTCACCATACATACCTCATCCGACAACTCATTTTCCATCAGTCTGTTCTCGTCCGTCTTTTGGGAATTCCTACCAAAATCTGGCACCAGCAGCACGTTTACGCACCTTCACCGTCCGACTCCCATCCGTTGGCGTCATAATCCGCCGGCTGGCTGTCTTTCGAGCTACCCTGTCCAGAAGCCCACATCACGGACGTCTTGTCCCCATATCTCGCAATATCCATTTTTGCGTAGCAATACCTCTTCTGCACGCCGCGGACCTATTCTGCTTCTCCGTGTCACGATTGCTGGGTGATGAGCGCAACTGCCTCGCCTTCTGCTTTTTACCTCTGAACACCAGTCAGACCAACCCGCCGCACAGCATGGATCAGATGATGGGTGACGGGGGCCGGTTCCCCCTTGAGACGTGGTTTTGGGAAATGCCCATATGCACTCGATGGTGGACGACAGCCACCGTCCTCACCAGCGCACTCGTCCAGTGTCAAATGGTCACCCCCTTCCAGCTATTCTACAGCTTTCGTGCTGTCTTTGCAAAGTCACAAGTTCGTCCTTCACTTCGTACTCCAGGCCCCCCCGCTTCCCCTCTCCTACCAAACGACAGCCATTTTACAATCACCTCCGTTGGAAGAGAGATTGAGACTAATAATTCTTGATGTCTACTGTAGTACTGGCGTCTTCTGACCACCTTTCTGTACTTCGGCCCCTTTTCGCTCGACCTGTTGTTCCACGTATATTTTCTCCAACGCTATGCCCGTCTCCTCGAAGAGTCCTCCGGCCGCTCTCCAGCCCATTTCTCGTGGTTGCTTGTCTACTCTATGACGAGTCTTCTGCTCCTCTCGCCATTGGTATCGATGCCTTTTCTCGGCCATCCTCTGTCATCTACTCTTGTCTACATCTGGTCGCGACGCAACCCCGACACGAGACTGAGCTTTCTAGGCCTGCTAGTCTTCACCGCTCCTTACCTACCTTGGGTTCTCATGGCTTTCAGCCTTATTCTGCATGGCTCTATTCCTAAAGATGAGATTATGGGTGTTGTCATCGGGCACATCTGGTATTTCTTCTCCGACGTGTATCCACCCTTACACAATGGCTCACGTCCATTCGATCCCCCAACTTGGTGGAGACGGCTTTTCGAGCGGCGACCGACGGAGGAAACGACAGATGGGATTAACAACGATATTGTTGTCGCTGGTGGTCCAGAACTCGCGGCCGACGTCCGATGAGAGAGTCTTACCATTCGGGCCTTTTGAGGGGTATATGTACGCACGAAAACCGGTGGGGGAATCAACATTGGCATGGTTTCGGCGTTTAGGTCACCAATGTCGCGATTCTGTGGCTCTTTCATTTACATCAATATCATCTTCAACAAAGCGCTTAGCCTAGATGTGCCTTGAAACGTAGGTAGAATGGACTAGGAGTGTGTTGCACTTAACAGTTCCGATAGAATGTTGCTAAGCTCAATCTACTATGCACGCGCTCAATCGTCTTTGCAGAAATGTGTGCGTGGCTCACTTTTGCCCCTCCAAATGGTAGTCTCTCAAGGCTACTGCAAGCCTTTCTGATTCTAACAGGGGCTGGCTACCTATGTAGATACCTATACCAGCGGGCCATACCGCACTCTGAATAGTACTAAGATCTTTGGCGCCGCGATCGGCAGGTGTAAAGGGTAATCGGTGCGCAGCCGACACGGCTAAGCGCACGTGCTGATGAGCAAGCCGCTGAAGATTGGACGGCGCGACAGCCTGGGTATTTAGTATGACCGACCCCCACATAGAGCCAATTGCGTCATCTCAAAAACTATCCGACAGTAGCCCCTCAATCACACTTTCGATATTCTCATCAATTACGCATCAGGGCAAGAACAAGCATAGTTGCACCGTTTTATCAAACGAGTTTAACCCCGTGAAAAGGTTCAGCTGGCCGGTTGTCGCAATTTTTCTTTCCTTCGGGGGAGGGCGCTGCAACAACTGACGAATCACGCTCTTTCAGCCATATACCCTCTAGCGCTTGCAAAAGACAGCCACAATTCAATATGAAGGCCTATTGGTATGACAACCTCGATGTAAGTAACGATAAGAGAGGCTGATGGAACATCCGCTCGACCGTATTTTTCAGTCCCCGATGATACCTCCTTTGCTGACTTCTCGTGAAACAACAGGGCGACCAGCGCCTGGCTCACGACTCAGGCAAGGAAGTCACCGTCGACCAGTTGAAGAAACTTGGTGTCGTTTACCACCGAATCTCCGATATTAATGGCGTGAATCAACTTGCAGCTGAACGTGGGTACAGGAACAGGGATGAGATCATCGTTTCACCGGAGAAGATGGGCGACGTCTATGAGGAGAAGGTCAAGTCGTTCTTCCACGAGCACCTCCACGAGGACGAGGAGATTCGCTTTGTCCGCGATGGGAATGGTTACTTCGACGTAAGGAGCGTTGATGACGCATGGGTTCGCATCCGCGTTGAAAAGGCAAGTGTCGCCCATCAGAATCTGGCACAGGTGGTCTAACTATAGATAGGACGATCTGATTATCTTGCCCGCTGGCATTTACCACCGGTTCACCACCGATGAATCCAACGTGAGGCAGCACCTAGAAAGTCTTATTTCCAAGGTGTCCTGCTGACTGCAAACAGTACATTAAAGCCATGAGGCTCTTCAAAGACGAGCCCAAGTGGACCCCCTTAAACAGAACTACGGATTTGGATGTGAACCCGCACAGAAAGGAATACGTGCAGGAGTACCTCCAAGGCGAATTCTCTGCTTGATTAAGGCTACGCACGAGAGGCTTACTTGCAGGAGATGGAATGTAGTGGTCAAATGCTTGGAATTTCAATGCTCTACACCTATGTCACTGTTCATTTTCCCAGTCGTTCATGATGCACCTTATGTAACTGAGATGATTCTGGGGCACATATCGTGGGGGGAAAAAAAGGGAAACCCAAATTTGCTGTATATAAGAAGGTTACCAGAATTACTAATTAGTTTTGGTACTCACATCATGGCATTCAGTCAGATATATCGAGAGTACCATGCGGGTCGACCACGATGCGAATGTTATCAAGCATGTCCTATATAAGAGTCTGCAGCGAAACCCATGAGCCTCGACGCAGTTTCTATGTAACTACCAAGCATCCTGCTGGGACTGCTGCCATACAGTAGTACTTCTTCTCCGTCAAATTCCATTGCGCGTCGCCAACACCATAGCTGAGTTTTGGGGACTTAGTATGGACATCAATAGAAACAAGCTCAGTCCAACTCGCTTTACTCCTCTTCAAACAGTTCATGCTGATATGCTATTATCCGTATGCCGAGTGCTACCTAGGTAATACCCCGTTTTACGTGGGTTGTGGGTATACAACTAGTTACTGTATCCGTACTAGCGGCAAGCATGGAAAGGTACGGTACGTATACACGCTGCCAGCTGAGGGTTCATGGCACAGGTTATTTCAAACCCATACCGTTATTACTTGCGTCTTCGACAACCACAGAGCCACTTTATGGTACAACTTCAACAACCGCAAACATATGCCGTAACACGACGTCAATTTGTCATTAAGCCATTCGATCTTGTAGCTTCGCGCTTCACGCTGCCGACCTGCAACATGAGCGACTACATACAGTCTTTGGCAGCTTAACACAATCAGCTTCTCGTCTATTTCCCCAGAGGCGACGGTCCCTGTCCGTCTTGCTATTGCAGATAGTACCGGGAGCCACCCGGTCACCCAGACTTCCAACGCACATTCCGGTTCCTGTGCTTTCATCGGTTACTTTCGCGGGTTGCGCAGAAGCTGTCCGAAAGCACCACGCACATGAGGGCAGTTACCAGATATTCTAAACCGCTAGCCAGGCATTGTTACCCAGCCCCATGGATGTATCCAGTGAGCATAGCGCAGCTCAGTCTGCAACGGAAGGGGCCGGCAAAGTAAAGTTGCAGCTTCCGTCTAGCTGCGATCCGCCTCCAGTTGATGGTGAGAGAAAGCAGTTGGTGTGGGTGGTGAGTGATGAGGACAAAATCCTTTCACCTGCTATGAGGCACACACGTTGACTTCTTGTTGCAGGTTTTCGGTGGGACAGGCCACATGGGCAGGTCCCTTGTGAAGTCCGCCTTATCCAAGGGGGATCTTGTTACGTCCGTAGGGCGGGTCTTCGAGACGAACCCCGAAGATATGGCGGTGCATCAAGACAAGGACAGTTGCCTCGGACTACTATGTGACGTACGCTCAAGAGACTCAGTCGCGCGCGTGGTTGATCGGACATTGGAGCGATTTCAGCGCGTCGACGTCGTCGCCAACTGTTCTGGATACGGCGTCATAGGTGCGTGTGAGGACCAGGACGAGCACGAGATTCGGAACCAGTTCGAGACAAATTTCATGGGGACCCTGAATATCATCCAGGCCACTTTACCCTACTTTCGCCAGCAGAACGGCGGTCGCTACCTCATTTTCAGCTCGACGTCTGGGGCACTGGGTGTCCCCGGCCTCGGTCCGTATTGTGCCACTAAATACGCCGTCGAAGGACTGATAGAAGCCATGCTCTATGAAACGGACTCGTTCAACGTCAAGGCAACCCTCGTGGAGCCGGGATTTGTACGCAGGGATGAGCCCGATGCCCTAGCGACCCCGCTGCCCACCTGGGGCCACTTCCTTATTAAGCCGGCGAGCGAGGCATATGCACAAGCAACATCACCAGCATTACATGCCAAGAGAATGGTTCAGTGGCTCGGTGACCGGCAACCGACGAGTGCTGTGAAGTGTGCTGAGCTTGTCTGGCAACTGGCCCACTGTTCTTACCCTCCGCTGCGGTTGCTCTTGGGAAGCTATGCAATTGAGAGTATTCGCGACAGATTACGGTCCGTCACGGAAGAACTGGAGGACTGGAAGCATTTGAATTTCCCTGTTGGGCCTGACTTAGGCAGTGAGAGCGAAGCGAAGGATGGTAAGCAGGATCAAGACCAGAGCATTGCAGATTCGGGGCAAGATCTGCCTGGTCAAGTGACGCGAGAAGTGTAGATTTAAGCATCGTTGGATGGGACGATGTACACGTTTTACGGTACGTTAGTCGCGCCGTGTATGGACTCAATGGCACTCGATTGGTGGTATTGGATTCAATGACCGAGAATATTGCGTAACTGCATACATGCTAGATGTACCGGATATGCAATTGTTCGAGATGTCTTTTCGCCGCTTTGATACCTAATTTCTATTCAGAGCAATACAGGGTAGCCATACAAGCTGTTACCTTTAACACATACCGCGTAAGCCCCCTTGCATTGCATCCCTTCCGTGCGTGGCTGGACCGACTGGTCCATTGGAGCTTACGTGCCAAGATTTCTCCACCTGGCCTGTAAAATACCTGGAACAAGGCAAATCTGGCATGAAATTCCATGACCCTTGATAGGTGCACGCGTTTTCCCCTGCGTTCCTGTTCAGCGCTCGTGAACATACCTATACATCTCTCCTGTTTGATTCTGTACCCCCTTTACCTCAAGTTCTTTCCATTCACCCTCCGACTTTCCCAACACCAACTGATTCTGCCACCTCTGTTGTCATCAAACGTGCAAAGGGGAGCGGCCTGTCGAGGACATCAACGGAACCGACCTGCCCATCATCTCTCTTTCTTCGACAAGAGACCAACTGAACTCCTTCAATCGAGCCTGGCGCATTCGCATCCTCGTTCCCGAACCAGACCGATTTGAAGCCAACGTCACTAGAGCCGGCTTGCTTCCCCGCCGAGGTCCGGCACCATCAAGACAGCGATTGCGTGCCAATAATCAACATCATGTCAGACAAAAAGAATGAGGACTACGAGCTCAACAGCTCAGAGTCATTTGGTGAGAAGGATGGCTTCCTGTCTCGGCCTCCCCCAAGGACGAGGCCTGCGCTTGCTTCGCCAATCAGCAAGATCGACAATAGCCCTGGCATAGCCATTCTTGCCTACTGCTTCTCCTCCATCAGTATGACGGTCGTCAATAAGTACGTCGTCTCGGGCCAGTTCTGGAACTTGAACTTCTTGTACCTCGCTGTCCAGGTGCGTTCTCACCACGTCTATAGCCTGTCAGAAGCCCTCTTCTAATAACTGAGTCTTCGCAGTCTATCGTTTGTATTCTTACCATCGTCGTCTGCAAAAACCTTGGAATGATTACAAACCTGGCACCGTTCGATACTGATAAGGCGAAGAAATGTTGGTCATAAACATCACGCAACTTCTAGCATTCCCCGACGCTTACATCTTCTCGCAGGGTTTCCCATCGCGCTGCTCCTGGTTGGCATGATTTATACCGGCACCAAGGCGTTGCAGTTTCTCTCTGTGCCCGTTTACACCATTTTCAAGAACCTTACCATCATCGTTATCGCCTATGGCGAAGTTTTGTGGTTTGGCGGTAGCGTTAGCCCCCTTTCTCTGCTCTCTTTCGGCTTAATGGTTCTCAGCTCGGTCGTAGCTGCGTGGGCCGACGTGGCGCATGCGCTGGGGGGTAGCTCTCATACCGCCGAAGCTTCGGCTGCGGTTTCGACTTTGAACGCTGGATATGCTTGGATGGGCATGAACGTATGCTGCACAGCGGCGTATGTACTGGGCATGCGCAAAGTTATTAAGAAGATGAACTTCAAAGACTGGGACAGTGAGTGTCCATCGGCTTTCCGCCGCTGCGTCGTGGTTTGAAAACCGATTGCTGACAGAAGAATGATGCAGCCATGTTCTATAACAATCTTCTGACCATCCCCGTTCTTATCGTCTGCACCCTTCTGACGGAGGACTGGTCCTCAGCCAACGTACAAAAGAACTTCCCAGTCGAGACCCGTAACAGCCTCTTCGTCGGCATGGTCTACTCGGGCTTGTGCGCCATTTTCATCTCGTACTGTTCAGCATGGTGCATCCGCGTCACATCATCGACAACGTACTCGGTTGTTGGTGCGCTCAACAAGCTTCCTATCGCCATCAGTGGACTCGTTTTCTTTGACGCGCCGGTCACGTTTGGCAGCGTGTCAGCCATTATCATTGGATTCGTCAGTGGTATCGTATATGCATGGGCGAGGATTCGACAGACGGAGGCTTCCAAGATGTCTTTGCCGACAACGCAGCCTATGAGCGCGAGCGCGCAGAGCAACAGGGATGCCAATAAATAAGAAACTTAGTGTCAGGCCTCTTGGAAGAGACTCAAGACAAGAGGCTGATTGTGGCTTGTACAGCTGTGTGCGAGACCGTTGCGGCATAGCAAGCATGACGATGATGGCCGTTTTCTACCCGACCTTGGACCACAGCGCAGGGGCTGATTAAATACGGCTAATCAACCTGCGTGGCTGGTATTGTATGGCCAGCCTTTGTCTACATGGGCAAGATATAGACCAGTTCGTTGTACAGTAATGCAAACCCTAGTCTGGGGCATGCACAGGGAGAGGCACAAAAGGACATAGCATGAAACTTGGCGTTGAGATAGTGCACGGGGTCTCATTTGCGTGTTGTGCAATACAGGGTGACAGTGAGGGTGATCAATGTAGCTTTCTCCAATGCCACCACTTTGATGTACGTATATTGCAGCAGCTATGACGTAAGTTTGTCAGGAGAGGGATGGGGAACGATTGTTGAATTGAGATATGACTCCTTACATGGAGCTGTCCAAAACGATTCGATTCAACAAGAGAAAGCGGTGGGGTTGGTTGAGATGAGCTGCCTTTGCAGAACTCCCAAGTGCTCAGTTTCTTACACTAAAAAGTACGAGCGATAGGAGAAGAAACGCCGCAGTCGCAGCTAGCCAAGGAGAACCTTTTGTATTTCAATATTTCGTAATTTTGCGGTGTGTTTGCTTAACTGGAAGTACTGCGTTATGTTGACGTTTTCGGCGACGTAGATTTTTGTGGGATGGGAATCATGGCCCAACGAAGGCAAGCTGTTCTGTTTTTCTTTTCTTTTTCTTTTATATGCGTTCAGCCTTCGACAAGAGGTACTTTCAACGTACGGCAGCCTTGGGAAATCAAGCAAGATGGGTTGATACCCTACGTGGGTAGGTATGGAAAGGTGGCACGGCAGCCGAGGCAGGCATGTCACGCACCGCTGGGCAGGGCGGCGTGGGCGGATCAAATTTGGGTGGGGGCCCACCACTTGGAGCTCCCACCACGCGGTTGAAATTCCGCCCTGTCCCATCACCAACCATCGCCACGTGCATTGTCACACGCACAACTTTCCTCTGCCTGAGACTCTTTATTAGCACTCCTATTGTGGTCATCTGAGGTCAAGTCGAGCCACATGAAAGTCAGTCACCTCAAGCAAGACAAGAACAAGTCCATCCCACTGCTCACGGCGCAACTCAACGTTCCGAGTCTCCATTTCTCAGCCGTTTCCCTAGTTCTTCTTGTCTATCGCCGTTTTACAAGAGCTATGGCTTGAGCGAAACCAGAACCTTTCTTCTGTTATAGACCAGTCTCACGCTCTATTCTCTTCCAAGCAACTTCGCAGTAGTCGCGGTGGAAGTGGCAATTGACCAACATGTTGCCCTTCATCAACAAGCGTATGTAATGCTGCCCCTCGGGCAGAACTCTTGCTCGGGATTCTGTTGTCTGCTCCACTGCTCGCCGTACGCTATGCTAACTACTGTCTCTCAACTTCGTAGCTTTCGAGCTTCTCGCCTCACGCCTCGGCGCATCTTCCGACGAACGTCAGTCTTCCCTGCTGCGAGTCTAGTCACCGAGCAAGAGCCAAATTCAGCTCCACGGGCGACCCTATTGATAGCGCACCATCGCTGATTCTGTTATCCCTACAGTCAAGCTTATCTTCTCGTTCCTCATATCGTATCCTCTGGCTGGTCTACTAAAACGAGTTCCTGATGCCAGGCCCGACCAGAAGAACCTTTTTATTATATGGTATGTCCGTCGCTTTTGGCTACCTGCTTCGCTTCTAGCTTCTCATTGGCTAATACGCTACACCTTTCCATTAGTACATCCACATTCTATCTAGTTGGCCTCTTTGACCTCTGGGACGGTGTGCGGACCCTTGCCATCGCCTCTATTGGCGTCTACAGTATCGCCAAGTACCTTCGTACTAGTTCCTTCATGCCATGGATTGGCTTCGGTTTTCTCATGGGCCACATGTCCATCAACCATATCTCACGTCAGACTGCTAATAACCCGTCCTCGGTCGACATCACAGGGGCTCAAATGGTCCTTCTTATGAAACTTAGCGCGTTCTGTTGGAATGTGGCAGATGGCCAGCTCCCAGAGGACCAGCTATCTGACTACCAAAGGGAGAGGAGGCTGGTTGACCTTCCAGATATACTGGACTATGCCGGTTACGTTCTCTTCTTCCCCTCTCTTTTTGCTGGGCCTGCCTTCGACTACATCGACTATCGCAAGTGGATAGACACGACGATGTTCGACCTGCCTGCTCAGGTTGATCCCTCCAAAGCACCTCCCGTGAGGAAGAAGAGAAAGATACCTCGCAGTGGCACGCCCGCCACCCTGAAGGCTGCCAGTGGCTTGGGATGGATCGGCCTCTTTATGCTTCTTTCCAACTACTATCCAACTACCTATTTGACGAGTCCTTCATACATGGATCATGGTTTCCTTCACCGGGTATGGATTCTTCACATGTCTGGTTTCACGGCCCGGTTGAAGTACTACGGTGTCTGGTGCTTGACAGAGGGAGCCTGCATTCTTGCTGGTTTAGGCTACAATGGTGTGGATCCTGTCACCGGCAAGGTATCATGGAACAGGTTACAAAACATCAATCCCTGGGGCGTCGAGACGGCTCAGAATACCCGCGCCTATCTCGGCAACTGGAATATGAACACCAATAACTGGCTGAGGAACTACATTTATCTTAGGGTCACGCCGAGGGGAAAGAAGCCCGGTTTCCGTGCAAGCCTTGCTACATTCGGCACCAGTGCCTTGTGGCATGGTTTCTATCCTGGCTACTACCTGAGCTTCATCCTCGCTAGCTTCATCCAGACAGTAGCCAAAAGTAGGACAGCCTCCGCGGTGCCGTTGGATTGCATAATGGACTAACAAATATAACAGATTACCGCCGCTACTTCCGTCCCTTCTTCATCGATCCCAGCAGTGGTGCGCCCACCTCCAGTAAGATCTACTACGACATTCTTTCTTGGTTCGTTACTCAGTTGGGTATGTCGTTTGTCGTTGCTCCCTTCAACATTCTCGAGTTTTCCGGGTCGGTCCAGGTGTGGGCTCGCGTCTATTTCTACGTTATCGTGGGCACCGTACTGTCCATGGCCTTTTTTGCCTCGCCCGCGAAGCAGATGTTGAGGAAGCAGCTTGAGCAACGACAAGGCAAGGCTGGTGCCAAACTCACGCGCACACTCAGTCAAGACAGTCTCTCTGGCCGGGAACCCGTCTTGGGCGTAGCGGCGGATCCTCAGCGAGAGATCAACGAAGCCATGGAAGAAATCAAGGCTGGGGTGGAGGCCCGGCAGAAGAAGGCGGCCTAAAATGAGCACCGGCGGGTTGTCAGTGACATCGTCCGAATTCGAGCCAGGGAATCCGGCATGCCTCTTGTACAAGCAGCCGTTGCTTCCATTTCAAACAACGGTCTATGAGCCAACTGCATGCGATTGCTGCTGCAAATCGTTATAGAAGACATGGTATAAGTAGTGGCAGAAGTGTCCCTAGAGGGACGCGTCATTAGAGATTGAGGGCTATATGGTTCTAAAACTAAAGCATTAAGATATGTCTATTTCCCACAGATGATATGCATCGTCGAGATCCGTCATTCCGAACTCTACTAAACACCGAGTCCGGTAGGTTGACACCTGTGTAGGACCGGGAGGGTATCGTCAAGCAGGTCCCGGTAGCCTATCGAAAATGCAGAAAACCAAACAGAACTCTGCCACTTCATTGCCAAGTGTGAGCCAACTCGGCCTGATGTACAAATACAATAGTCGTGTACAGCACCCAGTACACATCGCAAGCGCCTTCCGTGCTCGCATCAGAGGGGGTTTACAAGGAAAAACAAAGGATGGCAACACATGGTCTATTGAGCGAGCCATGATGCTGGTATAAGGAGAATCGCGCTGTCGGCGATGAATGATAAAAGGTCGTATGTGCGTGCATGCGTCTATGTTAATGAAGGAAATTGTAGTCGTAGATTCGTTAGGGCCGTTGTCGGGCATTCATAGCCCATTCGTAATTTCGATATGTTGAAATGCCAGCGAAGATGTCGTTCCCCAGAGCTTTCAAAGATGCCAGAGGCCGTTGAGCTGCTACGCCATTTGGCCCCAACCCTGTTTGACGCCCACAACGACGAGGGCAGCGATAGCGCCAACGACCAGCAGCCCAACGACTGACATGTACCTATTCAGTGCGCGCCACCACCGGGCACTTTGGAAGAGCGTCTCGTCGATTGCCAGTACTCTTCGAGGAAGATTACGTCCGTCGTCCCGTAAGCTCGATCGGTCGTCGTGCTCTGCCATCTCGGCATGAGGGTCGGGGGGAAGCGGGAGGAAGGCAGCGATCATCCATGCTGTCTTGTGTTAGTTCGCGCTCACATAGACCCGAGAAACGAGGCCCACTTACCGAACGGCAGGATGAACCCGATGGCAAACAATGTGACTTGCATGTTTCGCTTGCCAAGAATGCTGCTCTCTGCAGACCATGCCATCGAGGGAGGTTCCCAAATACTGTAACGGCCAGCCCGTTGATCACGCCGCAAGTGAGGCGACCATATGCTCGACGTCTTCTTCCGCAATCCGGTGCGCACTTGGTGGTTCTGCAGCGGCGCCTGGCCGATCTCCAAGGACCCTACGTCGGATAGTGGGCGGGGATTGGCGGGGTCGACTTCCCTTGGTCGTCGCCGTTGGCTGTAGATGTTCATGGGGAGATGTTCGACGCTGGGCGAATGGCTCTGGAACGAGCTTGGCGGTCGGCTATCGTTGGGGTCCGACATCATTGAATCGCCAGAGTTAGCGAGAAATCTGCGTTCGCCACTTCCATAGTAAAACCTACGATGGGCAGTCGGGTCAGTAAAGGGTACAGACACTAGCTAATCGATGGTTTTCATTTTGTGAGACAGTAGTTACTTACTTGGCCCAGGTTGGGATGGACGTCGAGTTCAGGCTGTTAGCGCGAGAACTCCCCGAGGAGTGAAGATTTCGATCAGAAGATGAACTTGAAAGGAAACTAGAAAGACGGGTTCGCGACGGGCGTTGATGAAGTTGGTGCAATTCTGTCAAACCATCGCCGTGCTCGTCTTGATCGCTCACCATGCGAAGAGTATTTCCACGACTGTGTGTTGCTCGAGGGCGTTCAAGAGAGTCGGTGAAAGAACGTGAGTGTGACAGTGAGAGCTCTTCGTTGGCAGCGAGGGATGATGAAATACTGAGCATCTGCCGGCTATGACTGCTCAGGGGTATGCTGCCCCTTCTCCCAGACGCCGACCATGGAGAAACAGAACGGGAAGGAGGCTCGCTGCCTCCTTCACTCTCCGAGATAACGGTGGACAGTTGTGAGCTCCATTGATGCGGGTGAGCGTTCATGTGGGATGCAACAGGGACAACGCCAACAGCAGGAGCAGACACGCTTGTTGTCTCTGGCTGCCGTTCGGGCTGGCCGGTCAAGCCGCGAGATCGATAGAATGCTGCAGGGGACGCAAGGAAACTTTGAGCAGCTTCGAGGGTAAGGTTACCGGAAATTGATTTGGCCGACGCTGCGCGTCGCAAGGAATCTCTTGACTTCGATTTGTAGTAACCGAATCTTTCGTTATGTCTCTTCTTTTTCTTCTTGTTGGGTTTTAGTGGTGCCACCAAAAGACTTTCTTGCGAATATTCTGGCCGAACTCGGGAACGACGGCTGGAAGCTAGAGATGATGGCGCCGGAGACGATGCGCCATGCAAGACGTAATTCTGTTCGCTGTCTGCAGTCTTTGGAGGGCTTCTCTCGGCCGATGATGGCTCGGGGGGGGAGGATCGACCCAGGACTACGTAGTTGGAATGACTTGATAATGGCGGCTGAGAGGACTCGTCTCTCTCAGGCGAAGGGGGTGAGCTGGAACCGTACAACTGGTAATTTGTTGTCTCGGAAGTCGTCGACGGTGCATGAATCACGCTCTCGGTATCGGTCGCCGGGGGGGAATTAGAGGCGTAGAGTTTGTAATTTGTCTTTTCTGAAGACGTTGATGCAGCGGCTGATGACTGGAAAGAGGTCTTGGTCTGCAAATCGTGGGTGTCCGAGGATAGAGGGGGATTGATAGTAGGCGCTTCGGGGAGCGGCGCGAGGCGAGGGCCAAACAGGGACGACGGAGAGGACGCGACCGGTTCAGGTTCAGGGTAGAGGAGGGTTGGCTTTTGCTCCTGCTTGAGATCGGGGGTATTAGGAACCTTGCGAAGCCCGCCGACCATTCGATAATTCCAAGGAGACGACGAGGAGTCTGCTGCGGTGGTGATATGATCACCGGCTAATTGCGTGGTTGAGGATGCCGGGGTGAGAGTGGATGAGAAGCTTCGGTCCGGAATGGAAGTCACTGTCGAGCTGGGACGATTTTCACTGAAGGCGTCGGAAACACGCCCATGCGAAGTAGTGGTGGACAACGATAAGGTGGGGGCTTTGGAAGAAGAGCCGTGGTTTTCTTGGGTTCCGGCCCGTTGCCCCTGTGGCAGGAGGGAGAATGTCTTACCATCAGCGTTCAGGGCGATGAGATTGTGGCGACGGGACAAGGGGCGCTTCGCTGAGGGTGTGACAGACTCGTCGTCGTCACTGCGCTGGGAGGACCGGGATCGCGCATTAATGGTAGTAATATCAGTCTGATGAGGTGGAGTGGTAGGGACAGGGGTGGTGGGGGACGACTGTTCGCCGGGCAAGGAGTCGGATCGCAGTTTCGAGCCTGAAACACCACTCTCCTTGGCTGCAACCAACGGGAAGGTAGACGAAGCTGACGAAAAGACCGACGTTCGGTTGCTGGAGGAATAAGAGCGCCGATGAGAATAGCGATCACTCGTACGACTGGCGGAGCGGTCGTCAGCCCATGACGAGCTAGTGCGGTCGTGTCCTGATGGGTTGGGAGACAGTAGGACTGTCGTGGACGTCGGTGTGCGTGATGACGAGGCTGACGCGGTGGAGTCACGGCTTTTGTCGCTCGGGCGAGGGGGGCTGTAGGGAACGATGCGGATGGCAAGGGAGTTGGACTGTGATCCTGAACGCCCGTGAAGCGGCCTTCGTTGGGACCGGGAGGGGCTCCCGGACCCGGACCCGGACATGCTCAGCCGGACACGGGGAGGGTTTGATCGGAGTGGAGCGTCTGTTGAACTTTGGAGAAGGGGAATGGGCGAGTGGAGGCGGGCTGTCTGGTTCGGCGTAGGTTGTCTGGGCCATGGAGTGCTGGAGGTGCCCGGGGTAGACGGGTGTAAGCAAGGCCGGGACAATAGACGGGGGCCGAGCGCGAGGAAGAGCTGCCCGGCGTTGCCGGCTTGCCGGGACCTGCACGGCTACAGTGATAGAGGGTTAAGACGGCACTTGGGCGGCCTGTGCTTTAGCTGTCTTGATTCAAGTACAATGAAGAGCAAGAACTGTCTCGTTGAAGCTTTCTAAGAGCAAAGCTGGTGCGCAAGTGGAGGTAGGACGAAAGGGAATGAAGGGGCCGGAGGTAGAGGACTGCAGCTTGCGGCGAGGTGCAAGATAAGTTGGCCGGATTTAAGGTTGGGCTGGAAATGTCGACAAGCCGTCGGAAGCGTGGCGCCCCAAGATACTCAGTGTCGTCGACCAAGAGGATTCGATTGATTGAAACGTAGGCGATGAATAAGCATGAGGATGGCTTTTTTTCTTCATCAAAAACGTGGGCCAACTGGGCAACTGTGGCACGTCTGTCTTGTCGGAAGGGGGTTTCTCTCTTGGTGGTGAGTTTCTTTCTTGATTTTTTTTTTTCACTCCCTGAATTCTTTCTGGTTGAAGATCCGTGCCTATGTGTGGAGCGATAGCAGCCAAACTGTGAGAGCCAGCAGAGTGAGTGACTGAGAGGAGCTGAGCCGTGAGAGAGAGACTAAAACGATTAGATATCGACAACAATCATGAGGGAATGAAATGAGTTGGGCAAATGAATGCGAGGCCACGGTGGTGCCAAAAGAGGGTGGAAAGATTATTACAGGCGGAAGCACCTCGATATTGGAAAAAGCAGACGATAGATAGAAATAAAGAAAAAGAAAAAGGTCGCCGAGGACACGCCAAACTTGAGAGGCGGGAGGCACAAGCACAAGTCGAAGGTGGAAGGGAGAAGCAGAAGAAAAGGGAGGGGGAAGGGGAAAGGAGACGAGAGAAAAGGGCCAAAGCAGCACTTTTCCAGGTTTGCTCGCTCCCAATCTTCCCACCCAGCTATCTCACATCAAGGTACCTCGAGAGGTGGAGAGAGTGATGTGAGCCAGGCCCGCATTAGAAAGCACCGACGGGGGTGGGCGAGAGTGGAAGCGGACCAGGGCAGGAAGCGAAAAACGAGGCAGGGGATGGGTATGTGGTGTGGTAAAGAAGGAATGGGCAGTACTCTGCACAGAGTACAGGCACAGACAAATACAGAGACGGTGCGCAAGTCACATACCTTTCTTCGCCGTCCCGAGGCGACCTTACATGCGCAGACTAATGCTCTGCGAAGACGAGTATGTCCTGGCGTCAATGCCTCAACCTCCCAGTTTCGTCTTGCTTGCCCAATAGCCGGCCAGTCTCGGCGGCTCCTCTACCACCTGTCGCAAGACAACCGCCGTGCTGTCCTGAGAAAACGAACCGCCTGGGCTCATGCAGGTCCCGGATCCTGGCAGCGCGACAAGACCAGTTGCTCGCCGAAGTAGCTATGTATGGATCTATACTATACCTGGTGTGGACCGCTGCACTTTTTGGCTACACACTGGGCTACGCCAGGAAGCCACTGTCTTCTTCGCGACTGGTGCTGATTGGATAATGTAGCCTTGACTCCCTGTCCCCTTGATTCATTCTTCTCCTATCCGGTAGCTGCGCCAGCGGTTGGTGTGGTCGAATGAGCAGGCAGGGGCACTCAACACCGTTGGGTTGCGTTGCAGGCGACAAGGGCTCGCGAACCGGTGCGGGATACAAGTTCCAGGCACGCACCAAACGATGAACAGCCAGAACTGGACACAATACCGGGGGCGGTGCGGTGCGGCGGGGATTGCGGCTTTCCTTGGTGCTCCAGCAGCTGAACCTGATCTGATTCTGCAGCAGCCGGATTGTGTGGAAATGGGGCGAAGACCTACTACACCTGGAACTGATTGGGCGATATGGCAGGGTGATCAAATCAAGCTGCTGCCAGAAATGGATAGCAAGGATGAAGACAAGGGCTATCCGTTTCACTGAGTGAGTAGCCTTTGGAGAGGAGAAGGTCAACGCAGAATGGCAGTGACGATGGGGTCGAGGCCTTTTTGACACCCGGGTGTTGATTGGACTGGAATAGCTGCATCGCTTGCACTTTGGCTACCGACGTGGTTCAGAAGGCGAGTATCCGTAGGAAACAACAAAACAACCGGCAGCTCGCGTCCAAGTGTTCCCACCGCCGTGAGGGGTCTGATCTTAAGGGCCAGGCGGCGACCAAGGAGACCCACGGCCGCAGACGAAGACGAGGCCTGGACAACCTGGTCGTCAACGCTCGACGGCGCTACCAAGGAAGACGACTAGAAGGGTGACGGGCTGGCTGGGCTGAGGTGCGGCGCGGAAAGAAGGCCACCATCACCTATAGGACCGCGCATATCCGTACATAGGTAGTACATATACATATCCGTACTAATTAGCGGACAGGGCAAGGTAAGGCAAGGCAGGGCAGGGGTTATCGAGTGCGGTGAGCAGAGTAATAACACGATGCCTAAGGTAACAAGGTATAATCTTAGCGGCAGATGAATCCGATCATGGAGCATTTTGCTTGCGAACCCGGGAAAAGGGAACGGACCCCAGATCAGATCGAACTTGGCTTCCCAAGGGAGAGGAGAGAGGGAGAGATGCAAATGTGAGTGTTTTGGACGATTGCAATCTCGGGCATGGGCCAGAAACGGATGGCAGGAACGTCTCGAAACGTCTGCACGTTTAACGCGCCCCCGTCGCCTTCGATACTAACGTAGTGCGCACGGCAAATGAGGAGGAAGAGCCTCCAACAACTCCTGCTGCTACTACTACTACTACTACTACTGGCAGTGTGGGCAGTGAAGTCGGATACATCGACAGCATTGCGCTAAATACCTACTACGTGTGGCTGTGCATTTCCATTTCCATCTCCACCTCATCCCCGTCATTCTTGCCTCTCGGTGTTTTGCAAAGCCCTTGTCCTTGCTTACACGCCCGGTATCTTGGGTCCCCGATGATCATGACGGATTTGAACACAACAACAGAAAGAAAGTTTTGTTCATTACAACCGGCAGGCGGCTGGCCACAGGTAGTGGGACGGAGGCCCTGCGATGCTGTCATCCCATGTCCACGCACGTCGTGGCACCTCAGGGCAGGTAGGTCCCTTGGTTGATCTCGGTCGGCGAAGCAGGGTCACTAGATGCAGAACCAAGATGGCTATGTGGCCCGGGCGAGTTTGGCTCAACCACCCAATACTTGCATCATCTACAATCCATCTTGTAGTTGTGTACTCGGTAGAGATGCAACTCGGTGGTGACCTGACCGCTGCTGCTGCTGTAGCTGTAGAGACGGCGGATACAATATGGGTGTGAGCCCAGGGAAGACACCCACAGTGACAAGATGCACAAGTAGTTAGTGGGTATCCCATAGGTGGTTGCTCCTCCAAGGCCCTTGCGAAGGGTTCTCCTAAGAGGTTGGTGCAACCTAAACTAGGTACATACCTAACCTGGGTAGGTACCTACATCGCACCACCTACCTCAGGTAGGTTGATGGAAGATGGCCCGTAAACCCAGCTGACCAATCCCCCTCCTCCTGTCGTCCACGTACGTCTGGTCCCAGCAGCAGCAAAACTGCACTTGTCACCACCATTGTCAAGGCTTAAGCTGTGGCCTTCGAACCATGGGCAGTTCATTGAGAACGGCTATCTCCCTGTTGAGCAGGGTGTCTGAGTGGGTAGGTACCAGGCAGGTCCCCCGCTGTACCCGTAAAACGTTTCTCAAGTATACCCAAGGCCCACCAGATTCATCTAGTGGGGTGCGGAGTCTTGATTGACTGCAGCAGCATTTTGCATTTGCACTGCGAAGCTGCCCGGTACTTCCTAAACGCGCCACAAAAAGCCCCCCAACGGCTGGCTCGGACTCGACTCGACGGTGTCGCATCAGTTCTCGGTGCTCGGTGGCCCCTTGCCGTGATGATACACCCCAGATACAAAACGTCGGCCAGCTTCACGTTAGCCCCCAAGGGCCACGGCTCTAAGCCTTCGATAGGCCTCATGTCTGACCGCCATTGTTTATCGTCTCATTGCCAGGCGCGGGCTGGCCGGCAACCCCGAGTTGGTGGTGCAGTGTTACCGTATTCCAGGAACATTGGCTTGGCCGGAGAGGAGGCGGGAACTTGCTAGGCGGATGGAAACGCCATGGGGCATTGTCTGTCATCCCTCTATCCGTTGTTCTGGTTATGCAAGAGGAATTAATTTCAATGATGGATAGGAGAAAAGCAGGTTCCAGGGGGTGACTGACGGCGGACCGAGCATGGAGAAGGCCTTGATTTACGTTTTCTTGAATTGGTCATTCTGATTGGCAGACAAATCGAAAAGCCCAGGTCACGGACCAATGCCGATAGGTTGCGTATTCTACCACTTGTCCTTCTCTCCCTAGTCCAGCCGCCCAAGGATCATGCAGTTCGCGCCTTCGCTGTCCTTGCATGCAGAGGTAGGTAGTACTACCGCGTTGCAGCAATACCAACATACGGATACACTAAATGGAAAGGTGGGACATTACAGTCTGCAGGTTCTGACAACTCAGCAGCCAATTTCCCCTGAGGCGAAGGTATAAAACACAGGGGGTGTCTTCCCCTCGACGCGCTTCCCGTTTTCAGGGCTGTCGTCTTCAGACCGAAAGAGAGTCATGGTTAAAATAAAATAAAAGAGATGGAGGGAGGGGGGAAAATTGTAGGAGCAGCTGCTGTACACGGACCGTGGACCTACGTGCTTCGGACACAGGCAGGCAGGAGCGCCGGTCCTGTCAGCCCGGCACCTCCGTCGGGCAGTGAGGCGCAAACAGTCAGATTCTCAAAATGCCAGACTTCAGATGATACGGGTGTGGGTAAGTAGCCTTAAGAGCCGCCAATATAAGTAACTTGAGACATGCCCGGCTCTGCTCTTACACCAACAAATTGATGTCCACGGGGCGTTCCGCTTCCTACACGTGAGACCAGAGAGTGTATCTTGGTGATGGCGGTCATTAATTATGCTGCCCCTGTTCATCTTCAGCCAAGCCCAGCAGCTCGGGTAGGACAAGCGCCTGAGGCCATGTCTGCAGCACGGTTTGAGGATAGGCTCAGCTCATGGCAAGCTACTGGTTGAGGGTAAGTCTGCTCCTGGAGCGTCTATGCACGCGATAGGCCGCAGATGGTTTCGCTTCACTGAACGGTCCATCAAGTTGGGCCGCATACGTCTTGAGGACAAGTGTTTGTACAGGCTAAACATATTTGTGCGCTTGTTGGGCCGAACCGAGACACTCATCAATCTGCTGTTGGCGCTTCGCGCGCGGCAGCTTCGCGCTGGCTGGGAAAGAGGACTGCTGATTTGCATCGTCGGTAATACAGGGAGTGAGTGAGGATTGACGCTGATAACCGCCGTTGCTAGGCTACTGTAGGTATGTCCCTACAGGTTTCACCCATCCGAACCTGGCACAGATGCCGATACCCGATACCCCCCCCCCCCCAAGGGACGACGTATGATTATGTAAGTCGACAACCTCAGCAACTCTGACGGGGCCCGCAAGGAAAGTCAATGAATGAATGTGTCTTGGTACCTGGTGCCTGGTATGTGTGGGTGCTAAACTGCCTATGTACCCACCCGCCGTGCTTCACAGAGTGCGGCCAGCTGACCAGTATTTTTCTCATTCAAGAGGTTTCGTTCTTGATGTTCAAGTCAATTCTGGCCTCCCCGAAATAGCCGCAGCATACACACCTAGGCTGTTGTCTTGCACTCAAGCCACCAGAGTCTGCGCCTGTCAAGGGATCATTAACTTTCCCTTCAGCCGTTCACGGCGCGAACCCAGTTGCACATCGCCCGGATACTACCGACTTGACCCGGCCGCTTCCATGTCTACTGATAGCAAGTTCGGCTTTGGGCCCGGCGCCGGCTCTGCCGACATACAACCGGCGTCACTGCAGCCTCTGACGGCATGCGCAATGCTGGTATGTACAGAGTCCTCTCCGAATCTGTCCCAACCTTTCCTTGCCGGCCCGCTACACAGCCACTAACCCATGCTTTCAAGGTTGTCTATACTGCCATCTACGTGCTACCACTCTACATCTCACCCGCCAGCAGACCCTCACCGACGCTTTCTCGAGATGACCCTGCCGTCATCCGTACCCGCATCACTTCTGTCCTGTTCTCCACCGGGGTGTGCTCTGCCTTGACCTATGTTATCCTGGCTCGCCTACCTGACGGTGCTCTGCCCTTTGGTCCCCTTCATGCCATGGGATACTGGCCGCTGGGTATAGTTGAGTCTGCCGCATGCCTGGCTCTCACCGTAACCCTATTCGCTGCTCCCTTGTACGAGACTCTCCTCATTGACGGCGTCTGGGAAGACTGGCGGGCCTTCGATCCCCTGGTTCGCGTCTGGACTCAGTGGACGACGTGGCGTAATATCGTCATGGTATGTTGTAGTTCTTTCGTGCCACTCAGTTCGTCTTACCAGGAATCTAACCCGAACCTCCAAGGGGCCTCTGACCGAAGAGATGTTGTTCCGATCGGCTTCGGTGCCGTTACTCCTCTGCGCCCGCATGTCCCTGACCCAGACCATCTTCATGTCCCCCTTCATCTTTGGTCTCGCACATGTTCACCATTTCTACGAATTCCGCATCAACCACCCCAAGGTGCCTCTTGTAGCCGCCGTTGCCCGCTCTGTCATTCAATTTGGTTACACGTCGCTTTTTGGTGCGTATGCTACCTTTTTGTTCCTGCGGTCGGGGAGCTTGCTAGCCATCGTATTGGTACATGCTTTCTGCAACGCAATGGGCCTTCCTCGCTTTTGGGGAGCCGTTGAACCCTACTGGCACGCCCATGGACACTACACGCAAGCTGATAGTCGGAAATGGACATTTGTTTACTATGTATTTTTGCTTGCTGGTGCCTTTTTTTGGTGGAGGGGCCTGTTACCCCTGACTGAGAGCTCGGCGGCCCTGGTGTCGCAAGGTGCTTGAGGGGCGCCTTGTATATATAGTTACGGTAGATGGTATCCGAAGAGGTATGTTACATCCTCATGTCAACATCCATACCTGGTAACGAGCCTGGCATAGCAAAGTCATCCTCATTCCGCATCCTCCGGCGACGAAGAGAGTCATGTTCGCGGCCTGTGCGAGTCCCTGCTTCAGCCTCAACTTCTCTTCGGGCCTCTGCTCGGAGATCTTGGTTGATGTCCTTCCCCTTCGCTCTTCCCACTGACACATTGGTCTCGGCCAGGCCGTCTTCGGGCCCTCTGGTGTTCTTCTTGCGTGGCCAGAGATTTGGTAATGCAATCTCCTGGAACCGAGGCTCTACGCATCGCTCGTCGAACCAACGGTGAAGACGTGCCTCGATCAGCTGGGCGATCTTGGGGACATCTTGCAGCCTTGACCGACTGCCAAGCAGACTCCGGATTGATAGGTCGAGGCGGTAATCATCCATAAAACTGAAGGTCATCATGGTGGGGGTTGACTGTGAGGGATTGCTGGGGATGAAGGAGATGGACAGGGTGCCGCTAAATCTGACCACCGAGACGGAGAGAGCCACAGGCAACACCGCACTCAACTTCTTTGGATAGTTCAGGAGAAGCTTGGTCTCGAGAGCGAGAGTCAACATGTCGCTAAGGTCAACATCCATCCGTGCCTGTAGCTTCGTCCCCTCCCTCGTGGCTGCGCTGGCATCGAGTGTCCTGCCATTGCCTAGGCTCAGCCCATCTTCGTCAACGGGAATGATACGGCAGTTGCTGAAAATGGGGAAGTCTTCTCCCAGACTCAGTTCCGTTACGCGAATCTCGTCGACGAAATCGGGCCTTGAGCCTCCGTTGAGTGCCTTGGTCAGGGAGCTGAGGATGGCGTCGTCATGCTGTGCATCGCTCCGAAATTGTGCGATGGTCTGCGCGACGAGGACGTTAAACCAGTCCAGGCTTTCCGGCTGGTGGCCGTCGACGTTGTAGTAGGTTTTACTGAGAATGGACCCAATGGTCAGGTTGGGAGGGTTGCGGAGAACACTTGACTTCTTGCGATTGAGCGTCTGCTGGCCCTGCTTCGCGTTGACAGTCCGCAGGCTTAACAAAGAGCGCTTATGAGCTAAAGTTCTAGACCGGCGCTCCGTTGCTCTTAGAGAGGCTGTCACCTCGGGTGAGGGAGGATCGCCAAAGATGAAGAATTTGATGAAGGCGGCAAGGACCAGAACCACCGACAGCTGGCCCAGAATGAGGCCTTGTGTGAACGAGAGCCTAATCCAACGGATATTAGCACGTGACACTCCGTCAAGAAGAGGTGGCATATCTATGGATATACAACTCACGTCGGTTCTGCCTTTGCTGGGCAAGTGTCCGTGGACAGACTCTCCATGCTCTTCGTAGTTAAAGGCAGGCTGGTCAGCGACAAGAAGAATCGTTACTATCTTGATACAAAGCCATGAGGCAGACCAATGCAGATTTACAGGTTGAGCTTAGACGTTGAAGAAGGCCCCGGTCAAGCTGTCAAAGAAGAGCGCTGTTGAGATAACTGACCAGGTGGAAAACCAGAGAAAAGGTGCCCGTTTGGTCGGGTTAGCACTGTGAAGAAGCTAAACGTCACTACTGGGCGGAGATCCACCATCCCCCAGTGTTTCACTCGCGTCTTTGCCAGGCACCATTACTGGCACTGTACCCGACGTACCTGCCTTGCGGTACCAACCCAACGTGGGGCACGTCCAGGGAGCTCAGGCGAGCTGTCACGGCGAGCTACGTATCCCATCCAACGACAGCGAGGGATGCGCCGACAATTTCGTGGATAACAACAACCACGACCTTGCATCTTACCCATCGACCCGGCTTGCTCTACGACCGACACATCCGGGGCATCCAAAATTTGTGCATTCGCGTCTTCTTTCTTAAAAAGTGATCGGCAACACCCTCCTCCCAACGAATCTGGACACAGCTTAGGACCACCTGACCTTCCCCCCCGTGCCTACGGCTTAATTCATCGGACATTTGTTCTCTGCGCTGGGCGCCCGTCGGCCAGGATGGATGTGGCACAAGCAGTAGCCGGCTATGTCTCTCGCATGATATCTTCGGCCGATTCTTCATCCCAGTCGGCGAAGATGAAGGTCCTTTTGCTGGATCGCGAAACGGTGCCCATTGTGTCCACAGCCATCACTCAGTCAGCGTTGTTGAACCATGAGGTCTACCTCATCGATCGAATCGACAACGTGAACAGGGAGAAGATGCGCCATCTTCGTTGTCTTTGTCTTGTTCGGCCGTCCCCTGAATCGATCCAACTCCTAATCGATGAATTACGAGAACCCAAGTATGGCGAGTATCACTTGTACTTCACCAACGTGGTCAAGAAGTCTTCGCTCGAGAGGCTTGCCGAAGCCGACGACCACGAAGTCGTTAAGCTTGTCCAGGAGCACTTTGCAGACTTCATTGTCATCAACCCCGATCTATTTTCACTTGGTCTCGGCCTTCCCCATCAGCGTGTCTGGGCGAGCAGCCCAGACACTTGGAACTCCGACGCTCTTCAGAGAAGTGCCGACGGGCTCATTGCCGTACTTCTCGCTCTGAAAAAGAAGCCTTTGATAAGGTATGCCAAGAACAGCCCACTTACAAAAAAGCTGGCAACAGAGGTGCGATATCGCATCACACAAGAGGAACAGCTTTTCGACTTTAGAAAGGTGGACACGCCTCCTATTCTTCTCATTATCGACCGGCGTGAGGATCCTGCAACACCACTGCTTACCCAGTGGACCTATCAAGCCATGGTACATCATCTACTCGGCATCACCAACGGCCGGGTTGATCTTAGTGATGTGCCGGATATTCGTCCAGAGCTCAAAGAAATTGTCTTGTCCCAGGATCAGGACCCTTTCTTCAAGAAGAACATGTATCTCAACTTTGGCGACTTGGGCGGGAACATCAAGGACTACGTCGAGCAGTATCAGTCCAAGACTCAGAACAGCGCAAACATCGAGTCGATTTCGGATATGAAGCGCTTCATCGAGGAGTATCCCGAGTTCCGTAAGCTCTCCGGGAATGTTAGCAAACACGTCACTCTGGTGTCGGAGCTAAGCAGGCGCGTTGGGGCGGAAAACCTGCTTGAGGTGAGCGAGCTTGAGCAGAGCCTTGCGTGTAACGACAACCACGCAACCGATGTAAAGGTATGTATCGCCAAATACAGAAATGCCGGGCCTGCGCACGATGACTAACGCATGCGACTCTCCCATAGAACATCCAAAAGCTCATACAGTCTCCCAGGGTTACAAGTGATAGCAAGGTTGGCCTCGTTGCTCTCTATGCATTGAGATATGAGCGAAACCCCTCGAATGCACTTCCCATGCTTGTCGACCTCTTAGTGGCAGCTGGCGGCGTTTCGGTACGGCGAGCAGATCTTGTGTCGAAGCTGGTGACATATCGTTCCACGCTACAACAGTCTCAGACCCAAACAGGCATCACGGATATCTTTGAGGGAGCCGGCATTTTCGGAGGGGCTGGCAACCGATTTAAGGGACTCAAGGGCGTCGAGAATGTGTACACCCAGCACAGTCCTATGCTGGAGAGCACACTCCAGAACCTGATTCGTGGAAGGCTCAAGGAGCAACAGTATCCCTTTGTCGAGGGTGGAGGCACCACTCGGGACAAGCCTCAAGATATCATTGTTTTCATTGTCGGCGGCGCTACGTATGAGGAGGCCAAGACGGTTGCAACAATCAACGCAAGTACGCCTGGCGTGCGCCTAGTTCTTGGGGGTACAACGATCCACAACTCAGCAACGTTTCTAGAGGAAGTTGAAGACGCCGTATCATTGTGGCCTGAGACTCAGAAACCAGCGGCGCGGCGATAGAGTACTGGCCTTAACAATTTCAGTGCTAATTTGGACGAGGAGGATTTAGGTATAATAGGGCTATGTCCATGAAGACCTAATCCAAGCGTATTTTGCAACCCAATCCAGCAAAGCTGAATGTCTTGCAATGCGAAGGAACAGAACATTGGAAAGCACGGGGAGATTGAAGGAGGAAAAAAGTCATTTCTATCGATCAAGCACACACACACACACACACGAGACTCAGCAAAAAGTAAAACATACAACACCAGGTATTCGCTGGTCGTCACCGACCCAACTACTAATCCGGCCCTCACTGGCTTATCTATGGGAGAGCGGACGGGATCCCGAGTTCTCCAGTGGGTATGGTCGTATGTGTCAATTCGACAAGCAGCATAGTATATAAAGGATGATGCACAGCGTAGCCGTCCAGATTCAGAAACACCTTGGTAGTTAGCGCGGAAAATAGGAGCTTATTGGTCTCTAAAAGGGCCGCTGGCAGATATTGCCATTGAATGCCGCATAGGGGAATCGCTTTTATGGAACGTCTTAACATTTGCCTGTGTCACCACTCTCAAACCAAGCTATTGAGTCTAGCGTGAGCCTGATCCTTGATTTAGTCGGGTGTGGTTTGATTTAAGAATTCAAGCTAGCACACGTATTGGTCTTGAAGGGGGCTATCCGTACACCTCCCTCAAGAGATGAGATAAGATAGGTGTGCACTCAGGCCTGTGGTCGGTGGTCATAGGCGCCGTGCACCGACAATGTCACTGTGCTACACTGTGACACTAGGGGCGAAATCTTATCGGATTCGCAGGCCAACATTAGAACCCCTAGAAAGCGCATTTTTTACCTCAAGGTTCTTCTAGCACACCAGATATAGACCGCGCACCAAATTGAACGGATTGTTGGGTTTCCAACGGGGACGAACGATGCGATCTGTCTCCACGGCGTTGAAGCTGCGGCCGCGCAGTGCTGCTAGAAAGCTGCAGCATCTTCGTTCTCCACAGACCATCAGCAGGCGTGGGTTTGCAGCCGTTGCAGAAGGCGCCAGGTTTGCAGCCAAGCACCTAGGCCACCCGAAGAATTGCTGACGCTTAGCAAAGGACGTTCGATGTTGTCGTGGTAGGAGGTGGCCACGCGGGTGCGGAAGCATGCGCCGCCGCCGCCCGAGCTGGCGCGCGAACAGCTCTCGTTACCCCCAAAATAGAGAATCTCGGCACCTGCTCCTGCAACCCTTCTTTTGGAGGCGTTGGAAAGGGAATAATTCTTCGTGAGATTGACGCGCTCGATGGGCTGGCCGGCAGGGTCATAGACAAGGCCGGTGTACAGTTTAGGGTCCTGAACAGAGCCAAGGGTCCTGCGGTATGGGTACGAAGAAGCTCGCTTGCTCTCATGGTAGTGGGAACCGTATTGCTAACGCCATGGTTATGTGTAGGGCCCTCGAGCGCAAATCGACCGAAAACTCTACCAGAAACACATGAGGGAAGAGCTGGAGACATACCCCAACCTCTCAATCGTCCTCGGCAGCGTGTCCGACATCGTCACGAGCGCAAACCCAGACACCACGGGCTCTGCCCCAAGCAAGATCACGGGAGTCCGACTTGAGTCTGGCGAGGTACTCCCGACGAGCGCCGTAATCATAACAACCGGAACGTTCCTCAGCGCCGAGATCCACATTGGCATGAAGGCGTACCCTGCAGGGCGCATAGGGGAAGATGCGTCCTTCGGCCTGAGCAAATCACTGAAAGACGCCGGCTTCCGCCTCGGGAGACTGAAGACAGGAACTCCTCCACGTATCGCCAAAGACAGTATTGACTACACTCATCTCGAGAGGCAACCAGGTGACAACCCGCCGATGCCGTTCAGCTTCCTAAATGAGCGGGTCGCTGTCGAGGAGCAGATGTCATGTCATGTGAGCTACACCAACGAGAAGACGCACGCGATTGTGCGTGACAACCTGGAAAAGACCATCCACATCCGAGAAACTATTAAAGGCCCGAGATACTGCCCGTCGCTGGAAGCCAAAATCGTTCGGTTTTCCGACAAAGATAGGCATATTGTCTGGTTAGAGCCCGAGGGGTTCGATAGCGACCTCGTCTACCCTAACGGATTGTCCATGACTGTGCCACCCGAGGCGCAGGAGCAGATTCTGCGCTCCATTCCAGGGCTGGAAAACTGCGTGATGACACAAGTGGGCTACGGCGTCGAGTATGACTACATTGATCCCCGAAGCCTCAAGGCAACGCTCGAGACAAAGAACATTGCCGGTCTATTCCTAGCGGGCCAAATCAATGGAACCACCGGTTACGAAGAGGCTGCTGGGCAAGGGATTATCGCCGGCATTAACGCTGGCCGATCTGCGCTGGGTCTTGCCCCAGCCGCAGTTTCAAGAGCGGATGGTTATATCGGCATCATGATTGACGATCTCATTACAAAGGGTGTCACAGAACCGTACAGGATGTTTACAACCAGAAGCGAATACAGGCTGACGTCGCGAGCGGACAATGCAGACCTTAGGTTGACCGAGCAAGGACGGAAGTGGGGCGTCGTGTCGGACGAGCGATGGGCAGCCTTCAGTGACGAGAAACAGCAAATCAGCGACCTCATGGCGCTGCTATCGTCGACGAGCAAGAGCAGCCCAGAGTGGTTGAAGCAAGGATTCCAGGTGAAGGAGGATGCCACCCGACGTGACGCGACCGATATGCTCCGGCTGCGCAACATAACCATGGACCAAGTCGCGGCCGCGGTGCCCGGTGTTGAGGCCTTCCCCGAGCGCATCAGGTCTCGCGTGCACATCGAGGCCACGTATGCGCCCTTCATCAAGCGCCAGCTCGCCGAGCGTAAGGTCTTTGCCCGGGACGAAAGCCTGCGGCTGCCAGCCTGGATTGACTATGACAAGGTTCCTGGGTTGGCCATGGCCGAGAAGGCCGTTCTGAAGGCGACCATGCCCGAGACTCTGGCTCAGGCGAGGCGGCTAGAAGGCATCACGCCGTCCGGTTGTGTACGTTTGCTAGGCTATGTTCAACGTCAACAGCGGAGCACAGCGATGGCAAACATGTCCAAGTCATGGCGGACGAACAAAGAGGCCTCTGAAGGTAAGGGCATCTCTCCGGTTCCGTAGATGCCCCTCTTGAAGGGGTAAAATGAATGTAAACTAGCCCCAAAAGTAGTGGGCAGTCTGATGTTTGATAAAATATTTGGTGTGATGCCTGCTGTCCGAGTGTGGACCCCCGTTTTGTGATCATAATGTACACTACAATCTTTGTTGGTTCCCACCTCTCCGTAACACCCCTTTTGATGCGTACATGTTACAAAGTTTTCTTTCCGGGCCCAGTTGATAAAAAATGTTAAATGTTTTACATGCAAAAGGTCTTATTGTTCGTTTCCCTGGTATGTGACGTCCGGGGCTCTCTGCTGACTGGGGCAGCAAGTGCCTCAGTTAGTTGACAGGGTTGCAAAGCTTCCACGCTCAGCGGAGGCAGCTGATGAAGAAGCTGCGAGACTTCTCAAACCTTGCTGGGTGGCGTCAAGATCTTGACCGCGTCTTTAGTATAGATGTAGCTCGCGCCACTCCAGACTGTCGTGGTAGCCACAACGTACCTGCCACCAAAGTCAGCATTACCTCTTTTGCACCACTTTCATCCGCCGTTCAACTACATGGACGGAAGAAAGGGGAGCGAAGTTGAAGGGACAAATCCAACGTACTGCATGATGGTCAATGGTGTTGAGAGATCGTAGCTGAACACCGGGGCGGCGGTCGTCATGCCAATAAGGATGAGTTGAAGGAACGTATTATACTTGCTGATGGTCGTGGGACGGACCTCGGCCGAGGGTAGAGAAAAGTCCCAATATCGCGCAAAGGTCTTGGGAGGCGGTAAGGAGATCCAACGGTAGTAGATAGCAGACACGGCCAGGCCGACATCGCGGCCGAGGATGATGGTCGCGAGCCATACTGCCGAGGATAGCCCAGGTCAGCGAACACTCCTCCAACGACAGACAGACGGCCTAGAGACTCACCCGGAAGCGACCCCTGTACCGCCAGACACACCGTAAGGATGGTCATGAGTGTCTTATCGGCCATTGGGTCGATGATGGTGCCGACCACCGTCTGCTGCTTCCACCGCCGTGCGATCCAGCCGTCCAGTAGATCCGTCACGCCGGCGTACGCGAACAGGCCCAGTGCCCAAGCATGCTGGTCGTGGAGGATGAAATAGCCGACAAAGGGCGCAGCGACAAGGCGCGATAGTGTCAGTAGGTTCGGCAGGGTACGGATGTCTTCATGGAGATTCTTCGGTAGCGTTGGGAGCTTCGCCGCGATCTTGCTTGCCGTGCTGCGTTGAAGAAACGGTTAGTCTTTGTTGCACACGGTCGTCTTCTTCCCCCATTGCGCCACAGCAACAACAGCAACCACGACGTGATTAGACTTACCCGGACGGCTTGCCGCCAGGCTGGGACGCATAGCGGGCGGCACATCCCGGGGTTGGGCATAGCGGGCTGTTGATCGTATTGTTGCTGATAGGAAGAGACGCTTGCCTGGGCGACGGCCGGTGGTACGCTGATGACGACAACGCATGAAATAAACGATTGCCGCTGCCGGATAGTCGATCTAATTGCACCAATGCCCTTCGGCCACCAAGCCTGAGAATCAACATCTTCGTGTCGTTCGCAGAGCCCCGACTTGGACACTGGCACCAGCCTCGCTTCGAATCGATCCGCCTGAGTTGACGCTGACCTTCACTCACAAAAGCAGATCATGGGTGGGGCACGTAGGAGTTTGGCAAGCTTGGCCAGTCATTGGCCCCCTGTGTCACGTCATTCCGCGCGTCGTCATTCATCGTCCCCGAGGAAGCTCATCTTTTACTTGCATAGATATGCCTATTCGCATAACTGGCTCTCCGTCTTTCTTAAACTAGGTAGGTACAAAACGAAGAAAGCGTGCAACTGTCCCCAGCCAGTCAAGTCGACATAGCAAGACTGCATGCAGTAACGCCCCAAGGTTACACAAAACACACTAGAATAAAATCTTCATCGCGTGGCATACCCAACATGTATGGCTGCAAACTGTAATTGCTTTCCAGGTAAACTTTTTTAATGGCGCAACCTAGACCTTTTCCCCGGATCCAAAATACTCTGGGGCCGTATTGCCCCATTCTCGCGTGCCCGTTTCGTTCTTCCAAACAGCACAAGCTCATCGCAAACCGCAGCCTTGGCGCTGCGCTGTTTTTGGTTCTTTGCTCGACGCCCATTTTTCTTCTTCTTCCTGGCACTCAAGGATATGTAACCCCGCAACATTTCCACACTGTCGTTCAAGGGCGGTCCTCTGTTGGACCCATATCATAGTTGTATACTCCTTCCGACGTCCAACACCGACGGGCGTTAGACGGCTGCGGTGGCTGTAACTTTTTTTGTGCCTGGCGTTGCTCCTGTTCAAGTTCTACCCAATGAGTTGTTGTTGCTGCCTGGCCAAGCAGTATTTCCCTGGGAGATATATTGTCCCTGATCTTCCTCTAATTGTTCGAACGAATTCCAAGTCTCGCGAGTACCCAGTCCGTCAAATGGTTGTATCGATCGGTCACCACCCAACCCCGATTCCGAGTGAACATTTCGGGGAGAGGGTGAGGGGAAGGGCTCGTGAGGTGACAAGTCGTGAACACGTTGCTGCGAGTATAGCATCGAAGTCATGTAGTTGCCACCCATGCCGCGCGAGGGGTCTGTCGGGACGGCTGGCAAACTGCTGGCGAGGCTCATATCTGGGCCTGACGTAGCTTCGTAAGCTGCTGAGTGCCGCCTAGGATGATGCTGCGACTCGAGAGCCATGGTTCGGGATATGTCGGGGGTCAAGCCAGCACTAGTAGGATACCGACCGGCTCTGCTGATATTGTCATACCCGTAGCTTGGGTGCTGGGCCTGTGCATAGCCCACGTTACTCACAGATCCCGGAACACCGCTTAAATATGACGACATATAAGGCGGTTGTCCAAACTGGGGCCCGCCCATGCCGCCGCCCATGTGGTGCAACGAGGGCACCGACATGGCCCGTGATAAGCTTTGGTGATGATGGCCGTTGACCGGATAAGCGTGAGCGAAGAGGCCGTGGGCGCCACGGGAGTCGTCCATTTCGACCTCATCAATGGGAGCCCGGAAGTTCTGTGACATGATCAACTCCCCGCGAGGGATGATGGTGGAAAGCTGGTGGTCCTTGGAAGGAGTCATGAGCTTTCCTTCTGTGACGTCTTCCACGTTGTAGTAAGACACCAGGTGGTGCGGCACGCCTTGGTATGTAACGCTGATCGTCTTCTTCACGAGACCGTTCTCCTTGAAAGGATATGAGTCGACTAGAGAGCCGATGAGAGCGCGTTCGGCCTCCTTGTTGCCCTGCGAACCATCTCCCATGCCCATATTGGCGCCCGTTCCATTAACGCTTCCTGGACGCGTGACCTCGGGCTTTGTAACACCGGTGGGCTTCTTGTTGCGCTTCATGGCACGTTTTTTCTCGCCGGGAGGGAACGGTCTGTCGAGCTCGCGATAAATGAGGAAATTACCCAAGATTCGACTGGGACTCCAGGCAACACCGTCGGTCCAGCGCTTGATCCCGGACGAGTGTTCCTCGTAGATGAAAACATTGCCACTCTTGATAAGATCTTGGCGTTCGCGATCGTGAGGCCGTCTGGGGACGTGATGCAGGGCACTGCTCAAGCATGCCTCGAACAGAACCAGAGCATCCAAAGTGGAGGCAACATGGCCAAAGAAGGTTGGGTTTAGCGGAACGTTGGAGTTTGCCATTTTGGCCTCCGGTTGCGTTGAGTCTAATCGTGTAAGTTACTTTCACCAACGTTTGCGGAAATGATTGCAGAGTTGCGCCACTTACCGACCGAGTATGCTGTACAGGAGGAAGGTATATTCAATAGAGTACAAACCTGGAATATGGTGGATGTAATGCGTGGCCGGTCGACTTGGTTGCAGGGAACAGCTGTCAGCAACGCTGGTGATCGTTGTTGTTGGTGTTGATGCGCTAATGTTGTTGTTTGTTGGTGCGCGTTATGTACGTGATGATCTTCGCCAGAGCGCGAGGTTCCGACAAATGACTATGGGGGAGGAAGAGGATGAAAGAAGCGCGGAAGGGGGGGCTGGCCTTTCAACAGCGAGTGGCAGACCAAGAGGTGTCAAAGCTAAAGTTCAAGAGTGTTTCTCCAAAGGGGGAAGAGGGGAAGAAAATGGGAAGAGGACCTAATGGGTAGGGTAAGTACAGTTCGTGGGTGGAGCTCTGGATCACAGCAGTCGGACCTTGGTTCGGCCTGCACTTGTGGTCGTATCCAGGTTGCAGTACCACCTCCCCCCTGGCGCCTCTTTTCCTTCTTCTCTCTTTGCTAAACAACTGATCAACACCTGTGTGACTGTGGCCTGAAGACCACGGCCGAGTCTGGCGAGGGGACCTTGAGTGGCCAAGTGGGAAAGTGCTTCGAATTGACGACCGGATATATTTCCCCCCTTGTGATCTGTTGGCTGTACCAAGGATGGGGTAAAGCTTGCAGGTTGGATATGTATGAACAGCAGCACAGTGGTCCGCAAGGCAAGTGCCTATGTGAGAGGCTTGTGGCTTGCGTGGGCCAGGAACTGGAGGTTAATGGTGAGATCCAGTGTTTTAAGGTTTGTCGAGCGCAGCACGGGCGGTACGATGGGCGGGAGTCTTGTTAGCTGCGCGTGCTGGTATTCCCTCTCTGGCCCTGCTAAAGTACGGTGCGGTGTGGCTGCCGATGACCGTGTGGGTTTGACATGTACGTGTACGCAGATGAACAACGCTGGTCGAACCCGTTGCAAAGGAGGGAAGACGGTAAAGGTTGCGGGTGGCGGGCAAGAGCAAGTAGTAGAAGGAGGAGTGTATGAGGAAGGTTGGTAGTTGAAAGGTTGATGAATGCGGAGCGGGACCCTTAGAATTTAGAGGTCGGGAAGGAGGGATGCAAACAGAAGGAGGGCCTCGGAGGTTTTTGACTCTAGAACCAAACGGTTGGGCCTCGAACTCGTGTAGTTCCTACAAGCTTCAGGAACCGGGGATGCAAGAGGTTGATGTACGGGGACTGGATGTCGCGGGGGACTTATAAGATGTCGGTGCCCGACGGTAAAACTGGTAATTGCGCGCGAAGATCGGAACACTGGATGAAATATGTACTTTGCTGTGCAGCGCAGGTGCTGATGCGGTGCGACAAGGGGAGCTCGCCCAGGGCAGCCGGGTGGAGAATACAAGACGAGGTCGAGCGAAGAGGGCAGACGAGGCCTTGTCAACAGACAGGGCAGATCGGGCCCAAGGCTCAAGGCGGGATGCCGACGTAGGGCCAGGCCAGGCCAGGCAAGGTGCCGTGGTCGAGGGTAGCAGTAAGCTGTTTGAACCCGAGCAAGGGTAGCAGATGAAGCTCTACCATGTACGTCAGAGAGCCAAGCAAGACAGGGCGGACGGGGCAGAGGGAAGAGCGGCGGCGGCGGTGGTGGTGCGGTAGAAGGAGACGAGGACGAGGAGGGGATGGAGTATGAGAGCCCTGCAGCGACAGGCATTCAACAACAGTCGCTGCAATGTGATAATGGAGACGAGTGCATGTCCGTCTGTTCCTGGAGAAAGCAGAGCCGACGAACGTGGAGGTAGGGTGAGGCGGAGGAGACAGCGGCGGCGACGGCGGCGGCGGCGGCGATGGATCTGGGACTGGGGACTGGACGCAAAGACACACAACCCAAGGAGCAGACCGGCAAGCAGGATACCCGGGGGGGGGGGGGGGGGGTGCGTAATAGCTGAATAGAGATGGAGAGGAGTGTGATGGAGGGAGGAGGTGTGAGAGGAAAGAGAAGTGGGGTGGGTGAGGGAGGAAGTGGGTAGGAAGACCAGAGAGAAAGAAAAGTGCAGCGATGAGAAATGTGTGTGTGTGTTGGTGTGTGTGGGTGGGTGTGTGTGTGTGGTGGGTGGTGGGTGGTGGGTGGTTGGGGGGGGGGGGGGGAAGATGGGAGTGGAAACGCTCGGCGATCAGAGAACAGAAATGCCTCTCAGTACCTGCTGAAGTAGGTAGGTATGGTAGGGCATGTAGGCATGCATGTGAGCCAGAAGAGGAGATGGAGAAGCTAGTGGGCGGGCGAGACGGACGCAAGAGCAGACAGACAGAGAGCAAGAAAGAGGTGCAAGTATCCAATGACGGTCAGTAACATTACCAGTGCAAGCGCAGATGCAGGTATTTCTGAGAGGGCTTTGTCAAGTGAGCGAGAGGAGGAATTTGGACTTGGCTCAAACCGACTGGCGGACTGGCTAGGCCTACGAGCTGACAGGCAAGCAGCCTGGCACATGCACCTTGAAGGTATTTAAGCCTTATCCTGGGTCCGTTATACCTTAGTATCCTGCTCTGCTTTGCAAATGCGTTGCTGTTTACGCTCACCTTCTCAGTGCTGGACTGGCGGGCCGGCCTGGTCAGTAGCGCAGGTGCTTGGCACAGGTAGTTCGTACTTTTGTAAGTCGGCACTATGTTGCGCACGAGACTGACGGCCAAGTACCGAGTGTTAAGACACCGTGACTGATGCCCAAGCAAACGTACCAGGTGGTACGCCTTGGCGCGGCACTATCGCCAAGGGCAGGGTAGACAAGACAACCATCATGTAATGTAGTCCAATACTGCTGGCTGGCTGTCGTTGCTGCCGCCGCTGGTGGGATGGATTAGATGGACGGATGTTGGGAGTGAAGAAAAGAGGAGGGCAGATAGTCCAGCAAGGTTAAGCTCAGGCGCCTCAAGGTCTAAGAGAAAGAGGATAAGAGGCAGCACGCCAAGACAACGGAGATGCCAGCGATCGAATGGTAACACCATGATAGCTGATGCTTGATGCTTTGTTTATGGTTCTAGTTGGCCCAAGACAATTTGGAAGATTTCCAAAATCCTTCTCCCCTTCTCCCAGGGTTAGAATACCGGCCGCCGTCGGGTTGGTATTTGTGAGTGAACAATGGCGTAACCATCATGCTCATGTTTTGCCTATTGTTTCTGCCTCGTCTATAGCGGTGGTGGAATGGGTGTTCTACTTGAAAGGGGGTGGGGTGTGGGAGTGCAGTGATGTTGTCGGTGATGAAGTTGGTGGTGGTGTCTCGATGCGGAGTTGGATGTTGATGCTCTCTCTATACGGCGACTGCCGCCGCTACGGCTGCTCCAAAACAATGCAAGGCACAAACAAGGTAGGGAATGTTAGGGACCCCAAAGATCCAGTGTCTTGGTAAGGAGGAGCATGCTGTCTCGTCCGGGAGTAGAGCCAAGATGGAAATGAGGGGCCGGGTCCTAAGACGCCGATTCCCCAGTCTTTCTTCAACAGAATCCCAAAGTCAAAGCCTAGGAGACGGGGTTAATCGATGGAGGCTTACCTCGGGGTCGCATCCACCACAGCAGTCTACGTATTGTTGGACGTCTGCAGAGGCCAAGTCCAAAGGGGTAAGCAGGTCTGAGGTCCAATCTGATTCACCTTTGCAGCAAGGTAGAAAAGAAAGTACAGTGACTGCACCGCGATAATGAGGTAGAATCTGTTTATTGCAGCGGGGAGCTGGCCGACGTCAAGATGGGCCGGGGACCTGTTTCTGCGACGCCACAAGGAGACGTGAGCTGTGCCTTCGCTACCTTGAGTGGAATTTTGTTTCTTCGCCCAACGAACGTCCTTGCGAAGCAATGCGGTGCCGCCAAGCGACTGGGTGGTGAGCTGAGGCGATGGGGAAAAGGTCAGATGTACCTCGCGTCTCGAAAGGTGGTAGCGCCAAGATCGTGCTCGCTGAATCTCCAGGGGCCGGGAGGTACGGGCGAGATGGGTGTTCAGAAGGTACATAGTATAGTATGGGGTGGACAGGGGTGGGGAAGATGAAGGCATATCCGTACTTTGAGGCATGTTACTGAGATACGGTGATGGATGGGACAAGGTATTGGAGGGAGGGGGTAAGAATAGAATGGGACGATAGGATGGGGTAGGATAGGCGTTAAACGGGGAGAACGGGGAGAACGGGAAGGAGTAGGAGTATGAAGGAGAGCGGCGATGAAGTGAAGGAGGAGCACGGCCAAAGGTATCAGAATGAGGCAAGAAGCGTGCGTGATGAGACGGGTACGGATGCGGCAGTGCGAAGGAGTCGATGACGATGACGGTACCTGCTTGAACTGGCCGTTGCCGTTGAAGGATGAAAAGGTCGAAGCGAGCGAGAGAGGTAGGTAGAGAGGAGAGAGTACCACTTTGGCCTGCCCTAAGAGACACGTACCGTGGGCCGTGTGTGTCCATCTTATAGGTAGGTTCTCGACCTGTGACTGCCTCACAGCCTCACAGCCTCGGTACCTTGAGGTATAGAGAGAGAGAGGGGGGGGGGAGGGGGGGGGGGGGGGGGTAAGGAGGAAGGACAGCTTCCTCTAAAATTTGGTGATCAATCTACGCAAGTCAGAAACCAGGAACTCAAGGTACATACATCATACCCGCCACGCTTCGTTCCACTACTTTCCTCAAGAGACCGACCTTCTAGCCCCCGTCTCTCATAAAACGTCTCCATGTGTGTTCCCTCGCTGTCGCTTCACGTGTTTCGCTGAATGACAATCTACGACAACTGCTGCCAAAATGCCCACCCAAAGTAGTTGTACCACTTGCCTTGCCTGGCCTTATGCCGCAGACTGGATGGAGCACCAAGGTTAAGCCTGTCATGGGAAAGGCATGGTTGGGCAGCTAACAAAGTAGGAGAAGGGGAGCACACAGGCGGGAATGGAAGGAAAGGTAACGCAATGCAATGCAAGGAAAGTACAGCCCACGGACTCGATAGACTATGTATGGCGTAAGGGAACAAACAGCGGAGAGAAAAGAAGATAGCAGAAAGGGAGGGGGGGAGGCGACCGCAGAGAGAGTAAAAGCTTGCCCGGTCAAGGGCTGGCAAGAGTCAGGCAAGACAGACGACAAAAGGGAAGGGAAGGTGGCATGTCGATACCGATAGCTCCAGCGCCCCCTGCTGAAGAATCTGAGACAGGGAAACACGTCTCCGTCTAGGTGGTGACGGATATCTCCTTAGCCACATGTCCGTACGGAGAGGGGGAGCGTCAAGCGAGAGGTACGTATCTGCGGATGCTATTGGCACACAGGCCACCCAACATGTTGCGCAGAGACCAGCAGCGACGCATGGCCGTCGATATTGGCCGTCCGTCCGTCCGTCCGTCCGTCTATCAAGCCATCAGAATCCAGCGACTGCAACGCTCGTAACGCCCACGTTGGAAGACTAAAATCCCACATCTCGGGCCATCCATCCACGGGCCCTCTGTGGTCCAAGATCTCATGCCAGCTACGGCATTACATGGAGAGCTATAGCGAAATTGTGAGCCGCGTCAACCACACCCTCGCGGAAGATACACCCGACAAGAAGACAAGGGGAGGGCTTGTAACCGTGTACTATCAACGCGCGTGGTGAGGCATCGAGGAGTCTAAATACCGTGAAAGGCTGGCGAGAGATACGTCTCTCGATGGGAAGGGGACTTGTTCCGATTGCGAGTCGTTAGTTTGCCCGCCCCAAAGCTCGATGCCACCGGATATGTCAAGTACGCGTGTCAACGCACCTACCGCGGTAGTTTAGATGCTGAGGGCAGCCGTCAAAGGATGTGTTTTGCTCCGAATCCGAAGCGCGCCATGAGCCCGGCCGAGAAACAGCCATGGGAAACGCTAAGGCAGTTCGCAGGCATGCTACGCCAATGCAGTGCTGATCTGGTTTCGTCCGTTTCCCCCCCCTTTGGTGATGTTTGTCCCGACTGAACCGGCCTAACACTGGACGGAACGGGACTGAGCCCAAGGAGCTAGAATGGACCGAACCAATCCGCCGAGACAGTCCAGACCTACCCTTCATCAGTACCCACAGTACATAGGTAGTTCGTTGTGTCCGTGAGGGCGAGGGTGATACGTCCCATGGATTCAATGCTGCCACCAACATGTTCCCAGAACAATGGCGAGCGCGCCCAAGCATGGATAGACTCGCATGTCACGCCTTCTCTTGCCCAGTAGGTGCATCTCTCCTCTCATCGGTGGTCGAATATACTATTTCGGGTTGTATACGGATAGTCCACCCTGCTTTGTTGACGGTTCCCCCACCTTATTTCGGTTCTATCTCCACGACTACCACTGGCTGAGTGGAGCGTTGGTGCTGTACTCTCTTGCGTATCGCTCCAATGTTCGCGTGGGTTTCGAGCTGCGTCAGGGCACATTAGCTTCCTAGAATCACCTCTTCGTCTGAAGCTCCAAATTGATGCCGAAAGGAGTGTTTGTATTGGTGTTGAACACCGTCGGCAGAGTGCCGGAACCACTGGCGAACGTACATCCTGGCAAGTGATTGCAGACTACCTATATACATAGTAGATAGGTACGTAGAAGGGAGGTACGTAAGTAGGCAGTAGGTACCTTGGACGGCAGGTAGATAGAGACCGCAGTACGTACTATACGGCGTGTTTCTGTATGGCCCTGGGCCTGGGGGGGCCCGTCAGACCCGCTAGCCAAGACAATGTGAGGAAGTGCCATGGTCGGTGCTTGTGGCTCGTTTTCGCAGTGCCAGACACTATTAGCTTCGTGGTGTGTCAGAGCAGCAGGGAAGCGCAAACAATGCACGGAAAGGCCCTGCGTGCTAGAAAACAGCAAATCAAGAACAGCGGGGGCAGGGGAGGAGAAGGCAGTACAGGGGTGTTTCTGGCCGAAAACAGCCTTGGCTTTTCGGTTTTGCTCATTTAGAGCTCCGCGCGGGTATTGATTCGTGCCTGAGCAGGGCCCGGGCTCTCAATCCTGGCCAGGATCACTTGGTGGGGGATTGTGAAATAGTGGAATGGTTAAAGATCGATCCGACGGGGAGCATGGAAGGGAAAGGATACGACGCCAATGTTGCCAAAGCTCTACGCAGTAAGGACCAGGTCTTGAGCTCAAGCTTCACAAGCTAGGAGACCCCTTCCATTTCCTGTCCGGCCCTATTGTTCACATTTGAGGAAAATAAGTCAAGGTATCCGTAAGTATGTAGTCAAACATTAACTGGCTGATCCAGCAAGTGTGATCGGAGTGTCCGCATTGGGTAAGGTACGGATGACCTGTGTCCGCAATGGACCATGCCACCACAAGGCGGCTGGCACCCCACGTGTCATGTGTTATGCGAGTAAATGTCTTGACTGCAGTGTACCGAGAAAGCCACAGCGAAAGCCACACACAACTGGGAGATGGAGGGTACGTACCGTATGGGCGTAGAGACAATAAACTACTTGGTAGCCTCAGACAGCCATTCGAGGAACAATTGACGGGTCCAATAATTCCCTCCAATGTGACCAGCAACCGAATCCGCCGTCAGGTCTCTGATGGCCTGATTGGCAAAGGGGCTACCCATGCGGTTGTTTTTCTTTTTTCTTTTTCTTTTGTTTCTTTTCTCTCGGTAACTACGCAAAGGCCTGTCTGTGACTAACCGCCATTCTACCCATGGAGATGGAGAAGAAGGAGGCGGGAAGGAACAAGTGACCAGCAGAAAGACAGGGGGTTAGGAGGTGAGAGTGCACCACAAATGAAAAGAAGAAGAAAAAGGGACAAGTGCCACAAGCCTGTCAGTTTGGTCAAGGGACAGGACAGATCCGCATGTGCAGGAGACGCAAGCCGAGCCAGTAGGTTGCCGGTGAAATAGCAGGGGATCACAGGAACCCTTGCAATGGGCTGCCAACGCCGGGATCGCTAGCGGGGTGTGAGGCTCAGGCCCGGGGGGCCCCCGAAGGGTTGAAGAATGATCAACACATGGATGGGCATTAGGTGGCCGGCCGATGGGTGGCAGTGCGGTCAAATAATGGATGGAGTCGCCTGTTGTGGTTGAGTGGGTGGGAGGACAGAGATGTGTGTGTGGGAGAGAAAGGAACAAGTGCAGGTGGGGGAGGGAGGGTGTGTGTGTGTGTGTGTGTGTGTGTGTGTGTGTGTGTGTGTGTGTGTGTGTGTGGATGGGCATGTTGGGGGTGTGTTGAGTGAACGGAGTGACATGGTGGTCGCTCAACTCTCTTAGCTCTCTTTCTTGTCCATCCCTCATCGCCCGCGTGGGAGGGGGTCCATGTCCTTTTCCCGTGACAATGCAGCCCGATGTCCTCGCAATCCCACAGCTACGCGATATACCACCAAGACAATGCCATTTGCTGGCACGGCAGCAAATGAAGACATGGGTGGCACCAGTGCCTTCCCTTGGGGCGCGTGGAGAAATAATTAGGGAAGGTGGGGGCTTGCACCACTACGTACGATGTACAATGGTACGAGGCCCCCTACTACAGGACTTCACTTTTGGTGAATATTCACCCTCTATTACGATATCCGTTATGGGGGTTAACATCATAGGGGTAGTCAACAGCCCTGCCACCCTTTACTTACCTGTCGTCGTCCACCGAGGGTCTGTTTTCCCGAACCGAATCCTACGACGACAAACGCATCTCCGCCATATCGAGTGGTGCTAGTAGCAAAGAGCAGAGAACAAGAGACGAAAAAAAGGGAACAAGTATATTACAGAGGGAGGAGATGGAAAGGCGGAGGGAGACATGCGAATGCACAGCATACAGCTTATCTTGGCTCACCTACAGTCATTCACTGTTTATTCAACGTATTGTACCTCATGTGCCTGGCCCTTTCGCTTGCACCGGTGCCCTTTATGCATCGCAACGCCATCCCAATCTAGCCCTAGGCATACAGCTAACGCACCTGCGTTCTGGAAGGCCAGGTCCGGAATGTGAGTAGCCCGGTGAGCGCAACCAAAACCACTTCATCATCTCCAACCCTAGCAGAAGGATGTACATCGTACGTAGCATACCTAGTTGGTTCAAATGACGGTAAAGCCGCCCACAGCGCACGCACCACGCATCACACTGCCTTGACATAGTAACTCTCTCTCTCCCCCCCCCTTTTCCGTTAGGAGTCGGAGTGGGAGGGGGGTGTTAAGCTCTATGACACATCCAGCATCCCCCTTTCGCAGAGCTAACCTTATTGGTATCGTAGGGCGAGCCGAACATGCAGGTATGTGCCTGTTGACCGGTGAGGTCTCATAACATACGTCAATTGCACAGGCTAGATGGGAAACCGCCTTATTAGGTGAGACATGGACACTTAGGGACTTCTCTGTTGGTGAATATTCTCCCTCCATTGTGATGTAAGCTATGGGGGGTAACATCACAGGGGGCGATAACTTTCCCCTGCCACCCTGTACTTCGTATTGCCATGGTGAGAATGCCACACACATGCTGGGCATGATGCATCTCTTCACTGACGATGCAAGCGTGGCACTGCTGATGGGTTATCCCGCACTCATGGCAAGTGTCAATCCAGACTCCCGTCCTTACAAACTAATGGCACGCCGACCATTGAGCTGCATAATGTAAGCCATCTCGTCTACGTTGTTTGAACCACATAGGGTTTACCGAGGACGGACCGGGGCCCATTAGGAAAGGTACATGGTAGGTCGCTCGCCGTTCGACTTGGAAGTTAATTCTCACCCGGGGAACTGTGTGTGGGCAGGCGATCGAAGGTCATCCTGGTCCGAGTAATGCGTCCAAACACGGGCCTTGAGTTACGGCACGACAACTTACCGCGAGTATGGCCGAAAATTAATTGCATGTCAAAATACCTAGACTCATCCAATTGCTTCAGTCAAAGCTACAACTCGGGTGGCAGAAAACGTAAAGGCAGTTCGATGGGCATAGCATTTGGCGGACGACCCCGCCAGTGTGCTCCTCCACGTCCCGCCCAGTAGGTATCCGCCTAGACGTCGCCATTCATGACACTCGCCGTTTGCATCATGGCCGTATGCTGCTGGCCCAATATAGCCCAGTTTCGTTCTCGCGTTTTCCCATGTCCCAGGAGCCCCACACGCTATACCGTATGTGGTGCGCTAACCATTATAAAGGGGATCGTGGGGACCAACTACTCTCCAACATGCCACTTTTAGCAGCGTGGTGACGTGCGTACCTTGCAAGCGCCTGTGCGTTTTGTTACACCAGCGGGCACCTGGATGGCCATGTTGGAATCAAGGAAGGTCGAAGCCAACGCGCCAAGGCGATCAAAAAGCGCATTGTGGCGGCGAGTGCGTGTTGGTCGAGGTGATTGTAGGGTGCGCGTCCATGTTCTCGTAGCGCAAGCTGGCAAGCCAGACGTCGTTGGGTTGGTCATGGATGTAGCGAGGCGGAAGCAAACCCTATATCCGTACAGTCAGTCCTGTCTGCCTAGGACCATGTACGATGTACTTTACAAAGTCGAGAAGTGGAGCGTGGTTAGGCGACGGCTATGCAGCATCCATGTCAAGGCATCCTAGCCTATGCGCAGATTTCCGACGCCCCAAAGTGACGGGGCCCAAGGTTCACCCATACACATGTACATACGACTTAGTGGCTCCCACCACGCATCTACAAAGACTTCATCCTGAGTCCTGGTACGACAACCTTGGATACCTGGTCGCCCGTTGCCCGTTGTCGGAGCTGCCTCCGATGTGAGGGTGGCTTCGGCGGCGGCGGCGGCGGCGGCGGTGGTGTTGGTAATGGTAGTGGTGGGGGGATGATCATCTCGCATGCGCACGGATGAGTGGGACGGGCGCAAGGTGGCTAGCGTTGAAGGCAAATTTAGGTATTGGCTTACGAGCAGTAGCAGTAGCAGTGGCAGTAGCAGTAACAGTAGCAGTAGCTGCAACAGTACACTAAACGGGTATAGGACGTTCGAGGGCAGTCGGCGTTTGTCGGCAAGTGAGCTTTTGTGCCTCAATAACCCAATTCTGCTGGCTCAGCGGCCAGGTGGCTGTTAGCTAGCTAGCTACCTACCTACCTAGATATGCGGTAGATCGAGGCACTGAATGAATGCCTGGATACCTGGATTTATGCCTGGCGGCTTTGATTTTCTTCCTCAGGCACGCACATAAGGGAAACACCTCCCGTGTGTGCTTGGGGGCTCCGAGGTAAGCGGAAGCCAAGGCCTGAGGCCTTGGACCCCCAGGACTCGGGACTCGCTGGCATAAACGTCTGGCCGCGCATCGCTTCGCATCGCATTGCATCACGTAGCAGCCCGTTTGCTACCTACACTCCTGTGCTGTATCTCCCTCTTTCTCTTATTCACTGCTCGTGCGCGTGCGCGTGCCTGTCGGCATCCCGGATATCCGTGCATTGTACTGACAGGTGCCTACAATGCTGGTTGTATGTGTGTTCCTCGATGTCAAACTTGACAACAATAGGTAATACACCCCAGCTCTCAAGCTTTTTTCTCTTTCCTTTTTTTCTTTTCTCTTTCGCCAATTAAGGCACTGTCAAATTTGCCGCTCGGTCCTGCGGGCGCTCGGAGCCAGCCCCAAGCCATTGGTTCTGCAGCCGGACACGGAGATTGCCGGGGGAGGGGGCTGATTGGTTGAGGGTTGCGGCCGGAAGTAGGGTGCCTACCTACTACTACTCCGTCCATTCCTCATGAATCCATCCATCTCTTTTCCATTACATCCCATCTCCTCGCACGTGACAATTGGTTACGATTCAAGCTCATATTATCCCTAAAGCTCTCCAAAACCTCCATGTAGGTACGATGAATGCACTAGGGCTATGGACCCGGGATCGACACGCTCTTCACGTCGCATCCTTGGCCTGCCGGCTGGATGCATAAGACCCCACCCTACAACTCAGATCACCCCCAAAGTCAGATCACCCTTAGATAAGGTAGCAATAAGAGATAAGTATATTAAGTTAACAACTTCTTAATATACTAACTATAAGCTAGAAAGATAAAGAAACATATATACATATCTTCTAATAAGGCTCTTATATAATATTATTAGCTTTTTATATATTTTATAAGTAATTTATAGCTAAAGCTAGATATACTTTTATCTATAAGGAGTAAATAAGCTAAAATAAGTAAGTACTAATATATAATTAAGATAAGATTTTATTATTAGATATTAACTATAAAGAATACTATATATTAATCTTTATAACTTTTAGACTTATATCTCATTTTTTAAAAATCACTAAACTTAGAAATCTAGTGTAAATTTTATGTGATTTTAGTGTGAATTTAGGTGGTCTGACTTTGGGGGTGGTCCGAGTTATAGGGTGGGGTCTTAATCCTTAAACGCCGATTCCCACGGGCTCCTATCTGCCTTTCTGTTCTCTCTCCCTGCGGCCTCGATTCCATCGGACCAGGTAGACAGGTATTCCCAGCACCGTGGGTTTGACGCCGATGGAAAGGGGCCAGTCTCAATCCCCAAACAGCATGTGTGTGTAGGTATCTATGTATCGGCGCCGGAGCGTTAGCGGGAGCAAGAGTCATTTCAACACCCTGCTTCCATCGTTATAGCGCGAAGATCGGCTCTCTCATCTTAACATTCTCGTCAGCCATCCCTTAGCTTCGCTATCGCCCGAGAGGATAACCCGACCGTGTAGGTATTGAAGGGCAAAGAGTGTTGCAAGACACCTCACCGACAGCGTCGTCGTCGGTTTAGCGAGCGCAGGCCCAAAGACCCACAAGACTTGGCCGTCGGCGACTTCACGACAGCATCGATTGAGTCGAGTAAATCGCGTCCAATGACGGCAACACAGAGGCCATCCAAGGCCGCCAATCGCATCCGTTCCCGAATGACGGCACCGGCTGTCGGGAACATAGCTCCATGTCCGTCGTGCTTGACTCCAACAGGAGGAGGCCTTCTCCATCCACAGACTCCAAATCAATCACGTGGAGCCCCATTGTCATTCCTTCATCGCCCCGACCGACTGCAATTACCCCATTCAGGATCGGGTCTATCACCCCATTCTAAACTAGAATTTGGTGTCGTTAGCTGGCTATCTATCTCCCCATGTTCGGGCCCTTGAGCAGCTACGCAAAAGAAGCAGGAAGCAGGGTTCCCGGCAGGGCCACTGGGAAAATCCCCCTCGTTTATCAGTCGTGGGGTGGGCGGTGTGCCACCTTGTGTGCGAGTGGCCTGATTTTTGTCGTTATTCCTCGAGTGGTCTCGTAGCCCGCCGAGGTGAGGCCTTGGAAAGGGCCCGAGCAGACGCTGTCCGGCTTTATTTAGTTGCTCGCCCTGTCGTCCGTCCTCGGTTCGCCTCACGTGGTGAGACCCTTCGTCGAACAGACGCCTGGACATCGAAGATGATTGTGTGCCTGTGCTGCGACCTTGGGAGGGACCGCTTTGGCAACGCACCTTAGCCTCGACATCAAAGTAGAGCGAATCTGCCCATACTCCAGTTACAAATAGCAGCAAAAAGGCATGGCATGCATGGCGGGGGTTCGAATAAAAAGAAGATGGGCCACACCCGAGGTGGAGGCGGGGTTTCCGCATTCCGTGGGCCTCCGTGACCGCATGGTGTGTATCTGTATGTACTGTACTTCGTACTACCTAGCGAGATGATGTTACCATCATGTACACTAGATCGCATCAGCATTGAGCAAAGTGGTTCGGGCTACACTGTACCAGTTCCGGTTGTCTCCCTTTTCTTTTCTTTTTTTCTTTTTCTTCTTTATTTCTTTCTTCTTCCCCCTCCCCCCCCCCGTTTCTTCTCTCCCGCCGATGTGCCCACTTAACCTGATGAGTCGGGCCTCTGACCCATTCAACCAATCACCTGCCTGACTGTACGTGGATAGTTTGACTGGTAACGTCCACCATCACATGAAGGACGATGGCACTCACTTCTTTGCTCGAGGGAACGTTAACAGGCAAGAGGACAGGACAGGACAGGGGGTGGGTCGAGAGACAAGAGCCGGGGTTTTGGAGGACTGAGGCACAGCGAGGCCGAGAAGTTGAGACGATATGGCGGAGAGGTCGATGGCCGTTGACCAAAGTACTTCCCTTCTCATTCTCACGATGGTGCGGGTACTCAGTGGGGTGTGGATACTCCCATGAATGATCAACACGATACAAGACGGAAGGCAAAATAGTTTAAGCACAAGAGCGAAGAGACCCCATGCGCCGCGCGTGCCCCCCCCCTCTCCCCATCTCGTCCCATCCTGCTTGCCACACCTATGCTTCCTCCTTTCACCGGCCCTCATGTTGCCTCGTCTTGGCTGTGCGTGCAGCACTCTAAATCTGCGCCCGCTCGCTCGCCCGCAGCGCTCCTCTCCCGGCCTGTTCCCTGTCGACAGGCGTCCCATGGCCTCACTCAAGTGCCTCTCGTCCTCGACTTCGTCCCCGTTCCGGTCCCTGTCCTTGTCCCCGCCCCGGGACGACCTGTCCCTATGCGTCGCATTTTTCACCCGAGCAGAGAACTCTTGGCCAGGTCCTGTCACCATGACGGGGGCTTGTCAATGTTTCTGATGGTTCCTGCGGTGTAACCAACCCGAACGATTTGCGTACGACTCGCGCCAGCACGGCCGGCCCCTCATGAACTCGGGAAAAGAAACCATGATTTCGTCTCGCACCTCGTCGCTTGCCCCCCCCCCCCTCTCTTCACGATGCCCATGCCGATGCCGATGCCCGTAGGCCAAGGCAGCATACAGCGTACTGACATGGTAGCTGCAGTCCAGGCTCGAGCTAGATCCCACGTGAACCAAGCTCCTCTGAATCCCCCTCTCTCCCTCTCTCCGGCTTGAGCGCCAATTCAACCGACAAGATCGAGGCTCAGACCCCGACGGCGTACCTGAGGACTACTACTACTGCCGTAGGCCAGCTAGACTTTGCTAGACGTACAGAACGGAGCAGAGCCGCCAACTGATCCATCCGGTCTCGATCTCGATGACATGTTGTCGTGTTAAGCCTTACAAGTGTCACACATCTTACCTGGTTGACGGGAGGGTTAAGATGCCGTGCCACGTTGGCTGCAGCACGCCTGCAGCGCAGCTTGCATATAGGGTGCGCACTAAACATTTAGGTCCCGTGCAAGGCAAGAAACAATGACGCCGGACAGTAACTACCTAGCTGGTGGGGGCCGTGTAACAGACAAACAAACAGAGAGACAAACGGAGATAGTTGACAATTCGTTCTTTCCCCGGCCAGATCTAGGGCACAGCCGTGATCCCATTGGGTTCCCGTCAAGCGGCCCATACCCTCCCTGTGTTACCTAAGCAAGTCCAAGGTTCACAGAGATTCGTCTCGCGTCGAGGAGGGGGAGAGAGACAGGGAGCCACACGCACCCCCCTCTACTCCTCCCCGTGATGCGCCCCCGCCCCAGTACCCTCACTGACCGCCGGCCACTGATCATTGGAAAAGATTCCGTGTGACCCAGCGACGGCCCCGCATTATCACCTTCCACACCACGGGTACTTCTTTCTTTTTCTTCTTCTTCTTCTTCTTCCTGCAACCATCCATGTCTTATCCAAGTCTTCCCTAACATACGGTACTTGCGAATGCCTAGGTCATGGGTTGGTGTCCCGAGGGCCTGTCACGGTCCACTATCAGCCGCCCTGACCCCCGGCAAGAAGCGTCGTCGTCGCAGAGGTGCCGTGCGGTGCAATGCGGCTGTTGTTAACGCCCTAATCTCGCTTCGACTCGACCTCATGGCGATATCCGCACACCACAACGCTAGGTACATAGGCACTGCTGCGCGCATTCGGTTGTTTGGTCAGACTCGGGACTGTTTTTGAAGTGCAGACCCCACCTCGTC